GTGATCGGAGCCGCCCGAAGACAGCAACCATGGGCGCTACGAGGATGGTCACCAAAGAATGTTCCTCTTTACCATTTTAGGGTAAGGAGCTAGCGGTAACCATTAGTCGAGAGGACTTCCGGTGAGCTGGGCAAAAAAGGCTCGACGGATCGAGTTAATGCCGAGAGACACCTAAAAAGGTTGATTGGGTTGGGGGCCATTGGCGATTGTGTCGAGGGAGGCATTACATCGTGAACACATAGGATCACACTCGTTACAATACATACAGGGTGTCTCACTTCAAGTTTTACATCGAAATACTTCGAAAAGGAATTTTTAAGAAAAATTTTACGAACAAAAGTTCTAGAATTTCAAAGAGGTTAACTGAATTTTTAGCCTCAATTAAGGTCTCAGCTCGATTTTTCTAAATGACAATCTCCATTTTCGATGACGGTTTTGAATTGTACGCTACAAAATTTCGTTCTTAATTCGTTTTACAGTTATCTCACATTATTTCGCCCTTACATTGCATCCGAATACTGATTTGAGTCTAGAACCCAATTCGCGCTCAATGAGGGCCCGGGCACCAGGAATCTTGTGTCCCAGGTTGCATTTGAAGTCATCGTCTGATCCCTTGTTCGATAATCCAGCTAATTGAGGCAAGATTGGTTGGTGCCTCAGCCGATTAAGACAAGATAAAGACGTATAGAGTGGCTACTTTAATCATCATTCGATAACCAACAATAATCGATGGCCATCCGTTCGTTATAGCCCCTACAACGCGTGAGCCCCAACCTCAATAAATGTATGGAACAAACTCGTCTCGGTCTCTCAACCCCCCTCTCCACGCAACGCAAGTTGAGACGCGCGTGTAGATTAAACAAGTCTTAAGCTGTTAAACCAGGTTTATAGTTATTTTAATTTCCGACAATCCCCGCCGCTCACATCACAACAGTAAAGGCATATAAACCAATCTGTTATGCAACGGGCAGCTAACTTTAGCCAACTGTAACCTCAGGAGCAAGAACCCATGAATTTACCAGATCGACAAATAATGAAAATGAAGAAAATCTCAAATACTCGCAAAGACTCACAAATGATATAATATTTGTCGGTCTACTTTAAGGCAAGCTTTAACAGTCATTTTATGTTTTATTATAATCCCATATCGATCTCGAGTATTAGGTATCGACTGTTTCAGAAACGACATTGAATCGGGACAAGGTAAACGACTTCATGCAAAGAGGATGACTATGGCCATTGTGTTTTTCTCTTGTTTTTATTTCAATTGTCTTAAGATCGATGGCTATAGCCAGTGATATAAGAATAGACGGCATCTAATTAATAATAATTGAAACGAAGGTATAATCCAACTGACGGTAAGTTCAAGGGGAATTGAAGATTCCCTCGTGGGTTATAAAGTGCATAGCGATCAAGATATACAAAAGTCTTAGCCATAATTCATGTTCGGACGTCACTTTTGATTGGCTATATTCTTCTCCGCTCACGATAATGTCGCTTATAAATAGAATTTCTTTAGCTTGACCATTCGGTCTTGAAACAGCCGCTCACAGCAAGAGAGAAGTTACTTATAATAAAAATTGAACTTATAATAAAAAATACTGTGTACCAAGAACGATTGTTGAATACGTAAGCACATGTATATTCGCCTTAACTTCGTTATTCGTACAACTTACGTGTGACGTACGAAATGTACGTGCAATACAGATGACGCAGATAGTATGCACGTAAATTTTCACGCCTGTTCACTAAGGTATAACTGCATTTGTACGCACAAAGCGATTAGAAACATATTTAAGAACTTTAGGGAAACATTTTGAGCGATAAGGAAAATTGATAACGTACATATATCCACGTACCAAATCACATACCGCAACGATTGCAACACACATAATAAATCCTCTGGTGAACACTCTGACTAGTATACTACCCAGCATCGTGTTTCAAGGGATCCCATTTCTAAACGAGCGAAGATATGGGGTTTAGGTATAAGTGTCTGAAAGTTATTATAATAATTCGGATATATATATAATAACACGCATTTACAGTGCGTCGTGCCCTGCGTATCGAGCAAGGAGCATTTGAAGAGCGCTATAGGAAGTATACTGCTCAGGTTGTGTAAGAGTGATTGAAAAATAGTGTTTCCATAGACTATAGAATATTCACAATTTTTGGGCTCCGTTGGACCACAAGAGTGCTTCGAAGCGAAAAATTCTAGTGAGCGTAAGTATACGGAGATTTTATTTGGAGCAAGTAAGGGTGCTAGAAAGATGTATAATTTTCAAATATTTTTCATCATGTGTTAATGATGGCTCACCATGCTCCTAAACATAGACACGCCCGCGCGCAGCTCGTGCTTATTGTTAGTCTATCTATTTGATCATGCTAAAAATTATACTGGAGATCGAAATTAGACTGGAATTATACTGGACGCTATACTGGTGATGCTACACGTGCGTTTATGTGTTCAGAGGAGCGAGTGAAGACAGTCATTGCATAATAACAAAATACTTGATAATTTTACATGTTTCTAGCACGCATATTTTTCCAAATAAAATCTTCAAATATTTTTAATTGCTAGATTATTTAGATTATATCTGAGCTTCGGAAAAAAAAAAACTTGAGCCGTGTTATCACTATGAGAAATAAATATACTTTTTGCAGACCACTAACACAGTCTTTTAGAAGGATCTCTCTAATTTATGAAATCAGTTGACTTTTCGTTTCAGTGCAATAAAACGAAAGGAAAATAAGTTCGATAGGAAAAAAAACATCACTCTTCCCGATGTTTCCCATCCACGTTTGCATTTTACTTAATGACGTTGCGCCAAATTATTCGATCGAGTCGAAATCGATTTAGTTGGATTCTACGCATTCGATTTCAGCTATTCAAATTTAAAAAAGGTCAATTTCAACAGATGTTATCCGCAAAAGAAGTTTGTGGACAGTATATTAGCCAGTTGCCCGACAGAAGGACGTCAGAAAATAATGTCCGCCAAAAGGTAAAGTTTGTTTCTCGCGCGACTTTAAAGAGTTGGAAAGAATCGCAATTCTTTTAAGTGCAAATTTTAAACCTATAGGTACTTTATATTTAATTTAAAGGTTTACCTTATAGTCGTAACTGCTACTAAATACTACTGTATGAAATATTTGTTTCAAATTTTTCATTTTCTTATAGAGCCCGAACTAATTTGGCTGAATAACAAAATATACCAACCGCGCTTATTTCCATTTTTACTATTGCGTCATGCTCTAAAAACGCGTAGAATAAATCCACCAATGAATAAACAATCTTAAGGAGGTACAACTATTACAACAAATCATTTTCATAAATAAACAAAGCAATTATATATTTTTCTTAACAGCCGCATAATCGTCGTGCGTGCATAGTTTAAAAAACATTGATCGTCTTATTTCTGAGACATAATCAGTAAAAATAACAAATTGCACAATACAGATAAACTTGTGTTAATTTAATGTCATGTATTTCGGCTTCCGAACGGTAAAAATTCATGAAATTTTTTCAGACAATTTTCTCACTTTGAAAATTACTACTATACGTTATTTAATTAACGCAGTTGGAATTATTTTTTCAACTTTTTACAACAATATTTTAATAATAATGTGAAAATTAAAAAATGTGCGTAATATACATTTTTGAGAATGGCAGTATACCGGTTATTCGCGAAAGGGGAAAAAAAGTATATATAGGAAACAGTTGTATCTCTTTAAGAAACAGCTCCAGTAAACTGACACTCCTGTTAAAATCACTATATATAGATGTAGTTTATGTGAACGTGTCCATTTACTGGTGGAGTCACCCTAGCTGAGATATTACAATTTTGAAATTACAATTGAGAGCTTAGGATTCGTGGAATGTTATATCGCGTGATATAATTTCGACAATGTTTTGTTTGGTGTGGGTGCGTGGCGTCATTTGAGCCTCATGGAACCGCGCCTTTAATGTCGCGATAATACGATGTGCCTGACGTCAATTTTACGTGTGCAGGTAGAGTTTGTACGTACCTACCTCGTTCCACGCGTCTTTTTTATTTATCGTTATACTACTTGTTACTACAGTCGAGCCTGTGGAACTGACGCTTCTGGCACTGGCCAGCCTCCGGCACTGTCCGTTTGAAAATATTTTAAATTAACAATTTTTGCCAGCGGTGGCAGTCGCTAAGCTGTAGGTCTATTTGCGGGTGCACCATCTATTCACATTTTCGACTAGTCCGTCTTTCGAGTATTCAGCATATATTCCAAACAATATTTTTAGTGTATATCTCCTCTACCAAATATCTTCTCATGTAGCGCATTATACATATATACTACGTCTAGGGAGACTAATCTCCCTGACTACGTCCCTGGCGCTCAAATGCGATTGGATGTCAGAAAGGTTAGATAAAATAATCAGTGCCTAAAACTTCTATTAACATTCGTCTGTCAGTGTCTAAGGTCCCACTGTAATTCATCCGTGAATATTCGAATAAATAAATACACTCGTATCTCAAATTTATGAATTCATTGACCACATCTTAATCTATAGGTATTACTTTATACTATTGGAATGTTTACAATTGTCGATTACTTTAAAAATTAGATACATTCCTCAAGAGGAAAAATAGTTATGAGAAGTTGAACTATCTTGGTATCCTTGTCGGAATCAATAAAACGTTTATAATATATAAAGTGATTCTAGTTCATTTAGAATGAAACCATGTAGATAAGCCCGAAGAGCAGCGTCTCCTTTCCTTACGTAGGAAACGACTTTATGCGTTGCTGAATTTGCCAATAAAAATTGTAAAAACGATAACAATGTCATAGGTAATATTTTGATTGGTGCAGCAAAAACTATTATATATTAAAGATAGTTAATTTTAATTCAGCAGAACCGATAAAACTGTGAATTTATATTTGGACTCAGGTTAACCTCAAATGGTAGCTCGACGCTACGCTTCGTGACTCTTCGTAACAAAAAGGTGGAATAAAAAAATACTCACCGGTTCCTAATTGTGTAATCGAAGTAGTTATGCTATTGTATGCATGTCGCCAACTCGTCAGCATCTCACGGCGTCAAAGAAAGTCTAGCACAACAGTGAAATCACACACTGGCTGAGTGCGCATCTGTGCACGAACTAAATTTCACTCAAGGAATAGAGTGTGAAACGTCGTGAAGAGTCTTCAACACAACAGAAATAATGTATATAATATTGGATAACATAAAATGTTTAGTAATATATTTATATCATTTTTATAAACTAGAAAAGTTAATGATATAACATTTAAAAAATACAGTTGGACTTCAGGCATTGGCAGACCAATGCATGAAGTCAGTGGCTATGTTTCCACTGGAGTCGAACGAGAGTTGAAACCCGTTGAAATACATTGAATGTATACCTATAGTTCACTAATATATAGTTATGCAATAAACGTATTTCATCTCTCAACTTGACTTCGGTGGAAACATAGCCAGTGTTGCTAGAAAGTGGGGGTAATATGTCTCGCACCCTGGTGCACATGCGTAAAGCAAGTTGTTCCTTGTTTGAATATACGTATATGGTCGACCCACGAAATCATATTCAGAGGACTCATTCACGCTATAAGTTTAAATATTACAAGAGAACTAGAGTCAAAAGGTTTTAGTGATAAAGTTTTGCAACTACATAAGAGTAATAACTTTTATGGAAAATTGGAACATTGAATTATAATATGAAGCAAAACGAAACGATAATACCAATATATTAGTTCAGTGATGGGTCATCAATTGGACATGCAAAAAAAATCCCTCGTGAGGAATAAATCCCACCATCTGGCAGCACAAGAGGTCTGGTCCTGCAAGCGTTTTTAGGTGCTCCGATTATTTTTCCTGTCTCTGCGTAGTCCATACTGTATGTCGATAGCTGATTGTGAGAGCATGTTGTGTCTCGATCAAATGCATACAATAAACAGAGACAATGATTCGCTATGCGCTCTCGGCACATTTTCGAACACACCTGTAGTTTCTGTGATACAGACAGGCTGCTACACTCACCTGCGTCCTTGCTATCTCTCTCTGCACGGCCCCCACCATTGGTGTGAAGGGCTTTAGTCCGTGTGGTGAATGGAATTCATTGTGATTTATTGAGGTTAGACAAACTATCTAAAAATTTTGAGACATTCAATTACCAGGAAGTAATTAATCATAACGAAATTATAAACAGTTTCGATGAAATACAAGAAGTTTAATTGTTTTTAAAATTGAGATAATTCTTTTTTAACAACATGTTTTCATAATTCGCCGGGGTCTAACCTCATACTTTGTACATGCTTTCTTAAAAATTGTACCGCCTACAAATGTAAACAGTTTTTTTTAAATATTAAAGATGTATAATAATGTGCTTCGAACGTGTCTCATTGGGTCGAGAAAGTTTAGTACGAAAGTATTAACTAGATCAAAAACTAATAATAATCATTTAAATGTATTATCATGCAACTGCGTGTCGCATGGAAGAATTTATATCGTTGCGAAGCAAAATTATACAACTAATTCTACAGAAAAGGAAGATAATGATAACATAAAGTTTTCAATGACACCAGAAAATATAGCAGCCCAACAAAAAATAGATGCATATATAGCAGACCCTGAAAATGAAAAACGATTCAAAGTATTGCAATTGGAAATTGATGTTATGCGACAAAATGGTGAGAAAGTACCAAAAAATATACCTCCGTATATAATGATACAACTGATTGAAGCAAACAGTTACAATAAAAGAAAGTAATTATGCTTATATTTGGTATCTATTTCATAAAGTACACACATAACAACTATCATAAGCATTATCATTCATTTTCTATATTTTTTTAGGAAAATATTAGCATATGCATGGTTAGTAGAAGTAAAGAAGGAAAAAATGTTAGAGACAAAAAGATTAAAACAGTTGAAAAGGATGGAATGGTTAAAGAATAAAAGTCAAGAACCTGAAGAAAATGAATCTGAGCAAGGAATGAAATATGGATTAGCCTATAATTCAATCTTCTTACGTATTTATGAATCAACCATGAACAATCTGTATAACAAAAATGCATTAAATGCCATGCAATTTGGCAACAAAGTCGTAATAGACTGTAGTTATGAGGACTATATGACTAATCACGAATTAACCAGTTGTGCTAAACAACTGAAGGATGCATTTGCTTTAAATCGTACACATGACCAACCTTTCAATGTATATTTTACAAATTTTGATATGTCAGGCAAACTTGCTACAAAGTTAAAAACTCTTATGCCAACCATTTTTAGTCCAGAATATCCACTAAATATTACTTCCAAGTCATATTTAGAATTGTTTGATAAAAAAGACCTAGTGTACCTAACGCCTCATTGCCACAATGATATGGATGATTATGATCCTTCTGCAATATACATCATAGGAGCATTAGTCGACAAAGTAAGCTAGTTAAATATTATCTTTAATGTGAAATATGCATCTTTAATTTAACAAAAAATATTCATTTAATTATGCTGTTTTAGACTACACACGACCCTTTGTCATTGGCAAAATCAAAAAAAGAAGGTCTTCGCATGGCCAAATTACCTCTTGATAAATATTTGCAATTTGGATCTGGTTCAGGTAAAAATCTTCCGGTGAATCACGTCTTCAACATTCTTCTCGACATACAGCATACTGGAGATTGGAAGGTGGCACTTAGACACGTACCACGCAGAAAGTTAGAATACAATCAGAAAATTAAATTAAGTCGTAAACTGGAATCAACCTTCAATAAAAACAAAGAGGATCCGACGCATATCTCATTAAATATATCAGATAGTTTCAAAAATTCTAAAAATAATTTTTCAAGTCAGCTTTCAGTATCTGAACAAGTAAAATTAATGCGAAATATACCAAGTTTATCTGAACAACATAAGTCAAGAGAAAATGTACCAGATTTGAGTTATGCAACAAGACTGAAACTCAGAAACAAGCAAAATAAATAATATTATATATACAACTCATAGAGTAATGTTTCACTTTTATGTATCATATAATAAATGTAAAATATGTAGTTGAAACGTGAGTTTTTTTTATCGTTTTTCGCATAAAAGAATTATTTTATAAAAACATTAAGTATTAAATATCCTCCATAAATAGCTATATTTAAGGTTTGTAATATACTCAGTGTTAAAAGAGCTACATCAGTCAATCGATATGAAATATATGCTCATATTCGCACCACGTTTATAAAACCAATATTACCTAAAATCTTATTACAATAGAATGAACTTGTGCTGTAATGAATACTATAATTGAACTGCGATATTAATTCCGCATTCACAGAATCATCTTACATTGTAAAACCATAAGAAAGAATGGCATCATATAGTAGAATTAATATTGTAGCTTGATCACAGGTAAAAGTAACATAAACGAGATGCCATTACAAAGTATAACTTACATCTCTTAACATTCGAATGAAAAAGTTATCGTTATTCTATTATTAGAACTTTTGTCGGCCTTTATGTTTTCTGTGAGACTTACAGAAATTAATCCTAATCCTAAGGCGTATGCAACATACTCATAATTTTCTCAAATACGATTATATAAAATTGAATCCACTGGTCTGAAAACTTCGCTTAATTGATACATGAGGATATAATTGACGCCACTCTTGAACTTTAATGTCGCTAATAGCCTCACAAAAACTGAGATCGATCATACGTAATTGTGGGCAGCACAACAAAAAACGTAAACATATATCCGGTGTTAATGAGCGTGCTCCTAATAAGTCCAATTGTTGTAGTTTTTGACACGACAGTAGAGGCTCCAAATCCCGATCTGTTAAACCGCGTAATGCAGCCAGAAAGACTTTTTCCAAGGAACGACAGGAGCTTAGTAAAGCTCGAAGAGAATCTCCAGGAGCTCCCATTCCTAAACTGCAAGTTTAAGCAAAGAAAAAGTATATTTAGGTAAACTAATTAGATGAAGCTTTTGTTAAATAAAAATATAGCTTACCACCAACCAAAATCCACTTCTCGTAATTGAACGCAGCGAGTAAGCGCGCGAACCCCGTTAGGTGAGAGACTGTGTGCTTTCCAGAAATCAATACTTTCCAAATGAGGACATGAGTTTGCTATTGCTATTGCTACTTCGTCCATATTTGGAATATGATTGCAGCCTGCTAAATTAAGATGATGCATTTGTGGATTCTGCTTTAATATCGCGCACAAGGAAGACGTCTCAATAGTCGTTCTGTACAGTTCCAGACGTTCAAGAAATTTAAGTTTTGTCAGCTGCCGAAATCCATGATTGGTGATAGCTATACAGTTGCGTAAGCATAACTCTAAAACATTTTCAATGTTACAATTTATACGGATCAATATTTAGTGAAGATTTGTATTAATTACCTTTGAGGTCATTGCAAACCGCTGCAACCTTTTCGATTACCGAATCATTCACGAACTGACAGGAATTCAGTCTTAAATGAGTCAATTGACTGCCACAGGAATTTAAGAATTCTATAATATCGTAGGACGTTATTGCATCATAATTTCCACACCAAGAGAGATCAAGTTTCTGTAAATATTGACAGCGTGGAGCTAAATAGTTTAATGCAACTATATCCAAGCAATACCAATATGGCTTTAGATTTAAACTTGTGTAAAGGAGAGCGTCTCGTGCAATATTATTGAAACGCCTATTGACTTTGCAACAACGACAAAGAGACTGTAAATCCAAGTTTTTCAAGATCTTCAATAGAGTTTCGTCCTATAAGAAAAAAAGTACATTTTTGAGATGAGAGTTCTTAACGCTATGTAGAAAATGAAAATAGGCAATATAACCGGTAAACTCGAAAAACTGCCGCATGTATTATCTATAGAATTGCTCGTAGATGGTGATGTATCCGTTAGAGAAGAAGATGCTGCAGAAAGATTAATGTCATGTATTAATTTAGGAAAATCTTCCTGTAGAAAATGCTGCAAGCTATTAAATGCCTCATCAATTGGTGGGATACAATGACAGTGCATTCCTAGCTTAGATACTAGTTTTCCTATAGGAACTTTATCCATTACTTTGCTGAAAAAATAAATGGAGTATTATGAATCTCATTATTATGAATATTATTCTTTTAAGTACAAACCTTTTGTACAGTACACAATGTTTGCCAAGTGTATTCTTCAGCTTTTTCAAATCTTGATTAATCTTTAAATAATCAGGCGTGAGGTTGTATTGATCTTCATTATTGTGTGTTGTATCGCCAAGCTCTTGCAGTAATGCACTCAGATTTCGATTTTGGAATCCAATATGTGGTAAAATTAGTTCAGAAGTTCCAATAAGCAGAATTGCATCTACTTCAGTATAATAGTCTAATAAACTATGATTAAATTCAACTCGTATCATTTTTGTTTTAAAATGACACAGCTGCAATGGAGGAGAAAATATTCTTGGTTTACGAGAAACTATTTGTGGTGGTCCGCTCCATAATTGGTGCCATCGTCTATTATTATCTCTGGCCCATATAGCAACTACACTTCCAGGATTATAAGTTTCATAAATAGATACTCTAACTGGATAGACTTCTCTGTAGTATTCAACATCTTAAAGAAGAAAAGTTATTAAAATTAGTTATTTGTTTCTCACACATCGGAGTTCACACAAACATAATTATACCTATATAATCTTGACTGATCACAGGTCCATTATTCTGTGGCATATAGTCAATGGGCCTAGATGGTGCTACATCCCACCAGCATCCATATGTTCTCTAAAATATTTCATGATTAAACTGTGATCTTTTTAATATGAAGTACACAAAATATTGATGCTTGTGAAGTACCATAACAAATGCTTGTGGATAATCTCCATAATCTGGAAATTTACTTGGATTCCCAGCAATATTATAGGCTGTATATGAAATACTGTTGTCGCTACCATACTGTGAACTGAAGTCTGAAACTTCTTTGACAAACTGTTCAACAAAAGCAACTGATTCCTTGTTTGTCAAATTCTTTTCCGTGTTCACGGATACAAGCTCCACTTTTACCTCGTCGAAAGACACCATATCATTAAATAATAAGAACTCTAAAAATTCAATTTAATTTGACAGTTGCCTAAAATTATGTGAGTAACCACAATTATCCATTAAAAACTTATATCTATAGTTAGATCAAATGATTTGAGTTGAGCATTGTTTTTTGTCAATAAGCTTTTATGATTTAGGTTTAATTTTTCGATATTTTCATTCGTTATTACAAGTCAAAAAAGGTATTTGTTGACAAATTTACAAATGTCATCAAACACTTGTCGAACTGTCTGCCACATTCAAGCAGACTGTTGTCATCGATGGTTGTCATCAGAGATCTTATTTTTCTTCTTTCTTTACGTATGGTTGGCACTAGTTAGGATCCTGGTCCCTTACAAGCGGCTACAAGATTAATACAGAATAGAGCGTTTCTATGGGGCATCTAGCGTGAGTATCCTATGACGATCTGAAACAGAGAAAGAGAGAGGAGCGCTCCGGTGACCAATTACCGAGGCGGTCCAACCAGTCAGAGCCCGAGGGTTCACAAAACCGCCAATTGGGAAGCAATTCATTCAATATTTACGAGAAAAATATTTCCATGCTCCAACAAAATAATTTCATATATGTTATATAAGTTTACATGAATTTTCCTTGATTAAATAGAAAGTTAAGTTAAATTATATAGAAAATTTAACAAAGACAATACAACAACAAAACAGTGAAATAAATGTGATACTTTTTCCCAATTAAGACAACTTCTTCTTTAATGCGAGAAATTTTATGTAATAAAATAATGAATGTTATAAAATAATTGTAGAGCCTTTTATTGCACACGATGCAAGTTGTCTGTTACCGTCACGACGAATGTTGGCGCCAATCTAGCTCGGAAACAAGCGATGTAACAATTAAAACATAAGAACATCGCGGCAGCGAGTGGTCAGCCAATCAGAGTAAAATGGTCTAGTGACGTCACCGTCGAAATGCGTAGAACCCCTAGTGGCTATACCTCGTCTATTTGTATCATGACTGCCTCAAGAGGCGTTAGTGTTGAAAGCAGTTGAAAGAGTCTATCATCTGCTAGCACGCGTGCGCAGTTATCTCTTTCTTGTCCTCTTTCTGTAATAGGTACATAATTTGCAGTTTCGTTCGTTGTACTGTTGTAATAGACCATGATTGTAATTTAACAAAGCAACAATGACTAGAAAATGCATCGTGTCTGGGTGTAGAAGTGGATATGTGAGCAATAAAAATAAAGTGTCTTTATTTCATGTGCCAAAAGACATTGAGTTACGGAATCAGTGGCTACGAGCTTTACCGAAAGGAAATATTCCAATTACCACTTCGCATTTAGTTTGCGAAAAACACTTCGCTGCTTGCGATATAGTTCGGGAGAATGTGCACAAAGATGCTACAGGAAAAATTATCTTGCAGGTAAGGATACTTTTATATCAGAGAGACACCCCCTTTAGATAATGTAATATTCTCTACACAATGACTGTAAAAGAATTTGTGCTTTAACATTGTTCGATTTATACCTATGCAGCCAATTTGTTGATGCACAAAAAAGTGAAATGTGGCTGTTGCAATTTGTTTTAAGTTGTTTCGAGCTTACAAATTTGCGTTGTTGACCATGTGCTCACAGCCAATTAATTCAAGACATTCAACAGCAACAGTGTTTGATTCTGCACATTATAAATTCTGTTATTTATATTGGGTGTCTATTGCCTCTCTTTATTTACTTTTTTTGATGCAATATATTTCTTAACTTAGTTCATCACGTTTATATTTAGGTTTCACTGAAGCATCCACGGCTTAATGATACAGCAGTGCCATCAATATTTTCAAGCCCTCGACAACATTGCAAAATAAACAATGATAATAACATTGAAAACGTCACTGAGAGTAAGGTGAGCATTCTCTTTTAAACAATATCAAAGTCCTAGTAAGAGTTTTTGAATGTAATTTTAATATTTTTATCAGATAATCTACAGTCCAAATTGTATACGAAACTTTTTCTGCTTATTTCCCCTGTCAGCTCGACCAAGCAAATTTAATTAATACATAATATTAAATAATGGGAAGAAATTTGAATGAATCCATATAATTGATTTCTCAATTTCCATATAGGTTATTTATCAGGAGTCATCATTATACACTGTAAAGACAGACAAGGTATATCAAAATATCGTTTATCGCGACCATGATTATGCTCATTCCATGGACCTTGAATGGGAGGGAGATGTGGAAAACACAAAAGCATATGGCAAAACTTGCAAGAACAATGTAATAGAAGATTGCACGGGCAATGTAGAAGATGAACCCTCAGATGATCGAACCATGCTGACACTAAAGGACTGTTATTCAGAATTATTAAACAATGAAAATCTGATAGAAATCCCAAAAGGCTGGTTTCGCTACAAGGATAATGAGGGAAAAAAGTGGGTTGCCTTTTCGACGTTCGGAGTCCAGAATCAAGGTAATAATTTGCAACCTCTGATAAGAAAATCGGTATTGGTGTTAGAAGACGGAACCGTTCATATGTCAGCACATGGGAAAACATTGTCTTCAAAGAATATATCGTTGCTACCAAAACCTGTAGAGACTACATCTGAACTATGCCATCTATTGAAAACACTTTCGAATATGAATATCTGTACTGGCGTAGCTATGCTTCAAGGAGCACAATCCGTACCCAGTAACGTTGGTTGTCAAGATTCATTTGGTGATTGGAGGCATAAAGATTGTCCTGTTCTTTGCATAAAAAGAGTATGCACACGATGCCAAAGACTAAAAAAAACTCTGCAAGAAAGGAATCGAAGGCTTATTAAACAGAATAAAAAACTGGGAAGACTGAAACTCGTATGTAGAACAGAACGCGACCGAGAGAAATTTGTCGTACTACGCAAAAAGATTCGCTCCGAGGCTGCTGTAGCTCGCAGAGCCAGTGAAAAGATTAAGAAAATACAGGGTATTATATCTAAAGCACAAATGACAATTAAAAATCTCCGTGAGCAATCAATAAAGGATAAATGCGAAAAATTAAAATTGCCAGAGCCACAGCAATTGGCAATCCAAGAAATTATCGCCGCAGCAGGCAAGGATAACAAAAAAGGCAACAGATACTCCGAAAATTGGGTTATGATGAGTATGCTGATGTTTATTCGTTCTCCTGCCTATTATCGATTCTTACGGGAAAATGATGTGCTCCCTTTACCTTCGCCGCATACTGTCCGGCGTTATTTATCCATTATGAATGTCAAGTGTGGCGTCGACAGCAATTTTCTCGAATTATTTAAAAAGAATTTAACCTCGAAAACTCCGATTCAGAGACATGGAATTTTGCTGGTTGATGAAATCTCGCTCCGTTAATCTATTACTGTCTGCTCATCCAGCTTAACATTTAAAGGGTTGACCGATCTGGGGGACGAAAGTACTAAATCAAAGAGATAAGACTTTTTTAATATGATTAGATTAGAATCTTAGTTCAATAAAAATATTGATTTTTCCCTTGTCTTGTCTTATTTTATCACTTTAAGTTATGGTTATGTATCCAAAATGTTGACTATCCTAATAAATATTTAGGAACCCTGTTGAGCTATGCGCTACATCGACGAAAAACGATAAAAGTATCTTATCCTTATCGTGCTTGCGACAATGATAGGAATTTGCATTTGAAAATGTTTCACAGAAGTTACAAATAAATTCAGTAAAAAAAAAGTTAGGACAAAAGCAAACATTTATTGTATACGTTAGTATATCTACTGTGAAAGATTTTACATTGAAAATTCCTACACTCAAACTTCTTTTAGAAGTTTTTTTACAAAGGGAATTGGACCTTGTGGAACCAATTTCATTCAGTGGTGCAATTTAAATTCAACAAACGCAAAAGAGAAAAAATATTTACACTGTTGAACTTGGCTACGGAAAAAATTCTACTTGTGTAGATACTTTATCTTTTATACTTGTTCAGAGGTATTTTCATCAACGTAACAGTTTTCGGTATATACGCAATCACCGCATCATTTAATTTTCATGATTTTTAAGTGAGTTGGTCCACTTAACTTTTTAACAGTTTTTTAGTCATCAATTCTTTATTCACCTAACTTCAAAATTTTAGAACTTTCTTTTTGAATCGGAGATCAGAGGATGCAGTGAATTTTTGAGTGCGCATGCGTTAGGTCAGCAGGCTTCTTCAACACTAGCGCTTGCGGGTAAAACCGCCTACATTAGCGGTTACAAGCTAGAACGCGGTGAATGTATTATTTTCATGCAATCAGTATATGTGTTTAGCTTCACATCAAAAAAATTCGATTTAATCTCGGTGACGACAGCAGACGATTTTGAATTCCTGCTTGTAACGGCCGGTGCAATGGTCCACCTGTCCTATTGGCTGTTTAGTATATATGCGCAATACTACACCTTGTCTACTTCCACGATGATTAGAGTTCAGTGTCCAGGAATATAAATTCTATGGTAGTCCATGGTATACTGGACTATAGTTGATGGTACTAGCTGTTCAGTAAAAAAATTAGTCGATCGATGACGTTTAGCACCGATGAACCCACGCATTTTGAACGTTCATAAAGGACCGTAAAAATTATCTTCTTGGAAAATTTACAATGTTATCAGTAATTCGGCAGATATCGAAGAAAGAGAAAATGACACTTGTTTATATACATTAACTTCTGCATTTATTATCGTCGAGACGTAAACTCGAGTAAAAACTACTCGAGTCGAGGTATATTATATAGTCTTGAGTTACGCAGAAAAGCTATCGAGAATCCTGGCGATGCGTCTACTTATAAAGTACAGCGATTCTCATATCTTGTTACAACATTAACATCTTACAAAGTAGGTACTAATTTTGGTAATAAATAATATAAAAAGACGTTTATAGAAAAAGTCTTAACGATCAGTCCCATAAATTGTCGAGTACAGACCACCTAAAAGTTGCTTGGGAAGAGGGAGGACAAAGAAATGTACAGCAGATCGAAAAAGTACGTCGACATCTTTTTCCGTGCGACATTATCTATATATATATATATATATATATATAAATGTGTATATAGATATATAATGTAGAATTCCTCTTCTACGTTTCCTTTTCGGCTCCATAAATACTCGTATCTTATCGAGTCGCATTTTCAGGACTAACTTTAATCGTGACTTTATTGCTTAAAACGGAAGCCAACTTTTCCACGTTATTTTGCGACAGCGTAATCGGTCTCGTTATTTCTGGAATTGCTGGAGGTTTGGGAATAACGTTACCCATCGAATTGTCCTGCAAAGAAAATAATATCTTTAGCTTTTTATTATTATTAACCTTGTTTTTATAGATAGCTATATACTGAAGAAGAAGCGCTTAGTATTTTATTCGTGCTAAACGATGCAGATCGTTCTGATTCCTCGGGCCACCGAATCCGTTACTAATAACTACTCATTGACGCAACGCGTTTACGTTAATTAGTGCTAAGCCGATCGGCAAAATGCCGGATCTTTAACAATGCAGGAAGTCAAAATAGTGACGCGAGACAAACTACAGTGCCATAGGAATACAGAAGTTTTCGATCGCGCCGATAGTATAAGTGAAAGTTGATTGAATTTGAGAAAAAGCTAATTTACTTGCAGTATACCTAGAAGGCACATAAGTTTTCTTACAGTAAAAACTATCTATAAATACATTGTACTATATTACATGCTTAATGAATATACAAGTTTCAAAAATAGGAGTTAAACTGTGGTGGTGACATGTCGAGAGTCACTATTATCTGATTCTAATCAACCGAAATAAATTTCTCACATACTCAAATATCGGTCATAGACTATCGTGCCATTAGAAAGTATCGTCAATCAATTAATTGTTCTTTTTTTATAAGACTTGTTAAAAGTCTTTCATTAAAATTTGAATATTATGATTGAAAGATATTTTTTATTATGCATAATCGAGCGAAATCGTTGTTACTCGTTTATATTCTTTTTCAATATTTACCTCGTCAGTCTTTTTTCGAAGGTTTGATCTCTGAAGCGTAGCTGCCAATTCGTTTTGCAATCGCGAGACAACCGGTGCATTAGCCACATCCTCCTCTCCATTTCCTTTTTCCAAAGTACGCTGTTGTTGGGGCAAAAATTCCAACCTGGATGGTTGTTTCGCTTCACCCTCATAAGCACCTATCCTGATAGCAACCTTGCCAATCGGCTTAGCATTCTGTCCATTAGCGGTTGGAGAAGTAAGTGAAAATTTGTTAGATTCATTGATGGCATTAGAAACCGACTCCTTTCCATTGACTGCAGATTGAACAGATACTGGTCCATGCCTTGGACTACCAGAGGCAGGTGACAATTTCCCAGCGACGCTTGATGTCGTGGAAGTCGTGGTGGACGACGTTGAGTTTGCCGTCAGAGGAAAGTAAGTCGGTGGAGGTTTAGGAATAACAAAGCTCGGTGCGTCTTTCAACTTGAAAGATTCTATACTCTGCATCTCAACGGCATCCTCACTGTTCTTAGTCCTGGCTGGTGTAACGGGAAGTGGTGGTGGTGGTGGCGGAGGTCCGCTCGCTGAAGAAGATCCATTAGTGAGACGTCTTTCCTGTTCCTGAAAATTCAGTTCAATGTAGTCACAGGCTCAAAAACTTTGAATTCCTTATTTGTCCAAGTTAAAAAGCTACTTTAAAAAGACACTAACGTTATACGGAGTAACAGTCACCAGTACTGATTTCCTTTTAGTAGCACCATTAGTCTTATTCATCTTTTCAATAGCATGTACACCCACATTCGATCTCCAAACTACGTTCTAAATAGTCCAATAAACTCTTCGCACTTTGCACTGTACAAACTTTTAAGCGTACATCCTAATAGAAGTACCGATGCACCTGTCAAGAGCACATCGTAGCTATAGCATCGTTTCTTACGTAATTCTTATTTTTCCTGCGGTAACGTACGTCCGTCCGCTAAGTAATCGTCCAAGCGAAAAAAAAGAGAGAGAAGAAAAAAGAGAAATAACAATGAGAAGACTCTACAGCAATGCGCACAGTCAGGTAAGCCAGTATACGACCCAGCAACGAAACACGTAAGCTACGTAGATAGATGCGTATACTTTATTGATTACCTCGAAGCGTAAAGTTTAACAACGTTAACGATAAAAGTAATTAACGATAAACTCCCTGACAGATCTCTGATTATATCTAAATTATCGTACACGTTTAAGAACCTATTCGTAAATCGCGCGCCACTAAGGCGGTCTGGTTTGATATTTTAATTCCTCTTTAGACGTGATGAATTATCGTTTTAACACTTCAATAGGTTTCTGTCTCCTCTGTCAGTTAAACTTTAGCGATTATTCATTTTGAGTTAATCGATTTAGATAGTCGATCTTTAAATTTTAATATGTTTTAAGCCACCAGCTATAAATATATTATACACTATCTATCGTATGTACAGTTTTATCTATTTTGTATATACGCGCTGCCACGGCGGTTCCGCGACGACTGAGAAAAGCACACTGTGTACGTAGCTTTAAGGTGTTAAGCTAGCTACTACTATCTCTTGGCTCTCTTGGTCGACGCGGGTGCACCTGCATGTGTAACAGAATACTATTGAGTTTGTATACAGATTGTACAGGTAAGTATGTAATAGTCACTCTCTAATTATACTTATGAGTCTTACCTGTATACACGTTACCGAGATTCTCCCCACTACTGTTTTAAGCAACAACTATAGTCGAGATTTTACTTCTTGCTCTTATCTATCTGCCTGTGTATTGGTCAATTATTTTACACACGTCCTGCGCGTACACTTTTTAGCTAGTGAAAATTTATGTGGACTTTTTTTTTATATTGGTACCACTATTCGAAATCGTGTTGGCTGTAGCACCAGAGGCATGAAAATAATTTATGAATTTAATGTCTCTTTACTTTGCCATAAGATGCTTGTTTATACTTTGCTCGGAGCAATCAGCTTGGAATTAAAATATTATACATTTTCAAGGAGATTCTACGTGAACGATTATATGGGTATACTTGTTATTGAAGATAATTATTTGCGTAGATCATTCTGTGAATATTGTTCGAGTTTGACTTTGATAAAAGTTAAATCGTTCTTGGTGTCCCTCGGGAATAATTAAATAATTTATTCGTTTCAAGATGATTTTAAGAAAATGCGTGTACCTTGCTCGGTTCTTAGCCATGAATTCTTCGCGCGCCGAATAAAGAAAAATGGAGAAAGTTTTAATTCCCGACTATGCTCGGCTCTATTATACAATTATATGACGCAAGTACCGACGACTCAATCACTCTGAAATTCTAAAGGTATTTATTATATCTCTTTTTTTTCCCCCCTGACATTCTTTCTCTTCCCTTTCTCGCACGACAACTGCTCTAACCCAAAGGCGTAACGACGAAGACGAGCCTCGCTGTTACGTTAACGAACGTTTCACTAGTTTCTTTTATTATTTTTACAAAACAATAGAGCGAGCTGTCTCTTAGCAATTAATTACTCAAATACTAGTTTTTGTCGTGATATACTGGAATCCCATTGTCATACTTGACTCCTTTCTTTTTTCTTAAAACAATTCAGCGAATAGACAAAAGTAATATTTTTTTTTTCAACCATTGCTACACGACAGTCGAGTCCTCCTACCTGGTTCTCTTATCGTATTTATGGCCTTTATCAGCATAGCTATTTGCACAATAATTCACTGTACACACTTGTCAGTGTTGAGTCTTGTAATGCATATGAGAACAGAATTTTTCTCTGAACCGATGAAGAGAAGAAAAAAACCTAACTTAACACGTTCGTTACAGGAAATCGTTGGTCCGCATAATGTTTAGGTATAACATGTATGACCGTTTGTGCACGTCGTAGTGAACGTGTCATAACGAAAGAAGAAAAAAAAAGAATTAAGTGAGTGATGAAAAAAAAATTAATATAAAAGGAATAAAGAACAAAGCATCAAATATGCCAATCAGACTGAAGTTTCTAATTAAACATATATAGGACCGTATAATGAAGTGATTCCTCGATAAAAATCAAAACTAGGGTACCTGCTCCACTTGATCAGAAAACTGGACCCGCTGTTGATTAACGTTGAACATCCTTCTGTGCGCTCGTTTGAACTCTTCCATCAGCTGAAATTATTAAAATGTTTTTATAGTAACACAGTGGTACCACATCCAATTGGTACCTCCTCCTCAGTGGACCAATAGGATGAAGAGTTTGGAAGGGGCTGCGTTCGCGCATCCTCTGTAACAACGCGACAGGTATACGGATGGTCTAACGCGTCGACCATGACTAAATAACGAATATAATTTTCCATTGACGATGAACAATAAGTTTTACCACCGATAGAATCAGTGTGACGTACTTCCGGCCCTATCGATTTTTCCTGACCGATCATACCAGTACGTTTCCGGTATTCGTAGATGAACGGTACTTTTACGAATTTCCGTTACTCGCGTGACGTTGCACGTGGGATTATAAAGTTGTAGAAATAAAAAATTCGTATAACCTTATCATGCGTGACTTTCTGTTCCTGCACTCTGAGCGCCTCTGCAGTTTGAACCTTGCGCATCTCTGCCACTTTTTCCTTCCCAGCCTCGCCCTTTCCCGCATTGTTCATACTCCTCTGCAAAAGACAAAATGTGTTACTCAAGGAATGCACTGATGATAACAGAACTCATACGATTACATCGCAAAGATTAGTCACGGGTAAGCATAAGTGATTATTGATTAACTGATGATTAGTCACGATGATGTTTACCAGGTACATAATAGGTACTATCCTTTTAATCAAGGTATCGCACAATTTAGGAGGGGACGACCATACTAGTAAGAACCTTCATTATCAACGTTTATCTGCTCGTGGTTAAGTGACGTATCATTGATAATTATTATCACGTCAAGAGACTCTTATCATCAGCCGCGTCTGACGTTTTACACCAATTGAACAGGTACTCGTTAAATTCCAATAATTGTCACAATTTTTATTGTAATCATTGAAAGAACGTGATAACTTATCTATACGTTCGCTGCCAATAAATCCAAGTGGAGATCTGCTACTCCATGAGACATACTTGAGAAATAAGTCTGCTGATCTTCCAGAGATTACAGGTGTAACAATGGGTAACCGAGTACAATATACATATTCTTAATCTTCTGACAATACGTTCTATACAACAGTAATGATGTATGCATATAGATATAATTATGTATACCTGCTGTGCTCGCCTTTGCAATTCCTGTGCTATCGCCGTTCCAAGATCCGTATTGGCCACGGGTGAGTTTCGCGTTGCCGTAATGCGAGCTGGACGCACGCAACTGCCTTCAGAAATTTTATTGGTCATTGTTGTCGTCGTTGAAGTACCATTGGAGACAAAGGACGCTGTCGATGCTGGTTCACAGGACGAAGTTGATAAGGATGAAGATGTGGATGCTGAATCTTTGCTACAAGAAGACTCGAGGCTGGATTCAGTTTCTGTGGAGCCTGTACTTCCCATCGACATTGTGCTTCCCATTTGCATACCCATGGCGTTCATAGGTTTTGCATCTGTAAAGAAGAAGTTCACAATGTGTAACAATTGTATGGTCTTGATTCTATAGATATTTCTGCCAGCCAACTGTGACGTGAAATTTATTTTTAATTTGCTACTGATAAGTTTTAATGAGATTTATCTAATAAAAAAAACGTAGCCAAATAATTGGAATTTGTATTCAATACATGTATGTCGCTATCCTTCGTTAATTACTATAAGATACAGATTATGGTTGAGACAATGATTACGAGTAAATTGATAACTGAGAGATGAGAGATGGATTACGTGAATAAAATGTATGATACTATATTTACTGTGTTTTTCTACGTGGATATTTATTTACCGACCTGGCTGCCACTTATAGGATAATGGCGGTGGCATTGATGGCGGGGCTGGTGGAGATACTGTCTGATGAACTTCTACAGTAGCTAATGTCTTCCTTTCCATTTCTACTTGCCTCTGGACGAATTGTAATTCGGCCAGCTGATTTCCCTCTGGCTGACTATTTCTCTGAGAATACAAGGGAATAGGTTCTTGTAATTTATTTTTCATACGTGGAATACAAAACGACTTTTAAAGAAACAGGTATTCTTGAATTCGTTAAGATAAAAAGTGACTATCACTACGATGACCTACCTCAACTGGACCATCGTGAATTATTGGACCCTTATCCCGCTGATACGGACGTTTCGTGACTTGCTCGTGTATGTTTCTGTCGAAATCGTGAACCTCGTAGTCTATTCGTGGAGCAACCGGATCGTAAAGAGGTTCAGTTCCCTTGTTAAGATTGTCAACGTTCCCTCGGGATGCTGGATGCGAGTGATTTTGGATGTTTCGTTGATATAAATTTTGGTTCTGATTTTGATTAACCCTTATGACTGTTGTATTGTTGGGTTTTCGAGTCCACTCTTGTACCTGAAAATTGGTCATTTTTATAGTTAACAAGTCGAGCGAATAGCTAACAATTCGTTCTGATTTCTTCACGATTTTGTATTCCACCAGTTTTTCTCACCTGATCCACGTGATTCCATTCTGACGAGCTGCAGCTACCGGTTGAGATAGCGAGCGGACAGCAGATCCTGAACATTAAAAAATTTCACAATTATAAACGTGCACTCAATAGAAATAACGGACAGTAAGTTTCTCGTGACACTAAGCTGTACGAGTAATGATGGAAAAATCGACGTGGCAAGGTAAACACAGCTGTCAGCCAAGGTAACTGTTTCTCAATTGCTTTGCCAATATTTGATATTCGTATATCAATAGATAGAGAATCAATATGTCAAATTCAACAAAATTAAAAACGTTTGATGCGCAAGGCGCACCAGACACTAATTATACAAACAATTGTTTGAGAGTTTTATTGAAATATATTCTTATATCAATAATTATTGATTATTCTAGTAAAAATTTTACTCTAATTTCCATTTTGCATTCTCTATCTGTATGTACATCTTTACAAGCGTTTTAAATGTGGCCTAAATTAATTTAATTTACCAACAACCTGTGTTCCCCTAGACATTTAAAATATTCGTTGGCGCCACTCAAGCATGCATGACTGTAATCACGACCGGATCCCGTGCAAGGAATTTCGATGCAGGGCGCTTTGGTAGGTGCATTAGCGTGACAAACGTACCGGCCATTTCTGCCAGTTGGCTCATCCCTTCCCTGATGTGTTCTACCATCGACCAGATGCTGCGGCGATGTGGGAACTTGCGGTGGTGGACTGACGGCAAGTGAACTTGAGGATTCCGAATCATAGCCACTAGAGCCACGCATCCATAATGACTCAGGACAGTCATATAGATGATTTGGAACTGGCCTGTTAACAATGAGATCCAAAATTGCTGCACCGCGCATTACTTCAATGGCCCTTTCAAAAGGAAGGTCTGTCAGTCGTTGTCCATTACACCAGATGATGACGTCGCCAGCTTTCAGACCAGCTGCACGGGCTGGACCACCCTCCCTTGTTCCCTGATAATTTTAGTTATTAATTTAATAATTCAATCCGAATTATGAATTTTGATTTGTCCACGAGAATCCATGATACATATATGATAATTAATGTAGGCCAATATGTGTACCTGTACTGTAAGACCTGGCAAGATTCCTCTGCAGACTCCACATCCTAGACGACCCTTTTCTCCAACAGGAATTCGAATTCTTACTTCTGTACTCGGTGGCACTGTTCCTGATGCCGTTTCGTTCGCTTGCAGTTGCAGTTGCTGCTGTTGTTGAACTATGTGCCAAGTTACTGGATCGTTTGGATTACTAATACAAATAATAATATGCATTTGTAAAATGATAATTCACAAAGTATCACGTAGAAGATTATTATGAACAATACTCACTCCTTCACCGGTATCATGCCCACACCTGAAACAAAGACAAATGTATCAAGTTTATATCACTTTTTAAAAAATCCTCTATTCCGTTCTTAATACTCACTTCGAATTTTTAAGACTAACACCTGCTGATTCTTGGCCAAAAGTGCGACTTCCTGGTGTACAGCATCTTCGACTGGGTAACCATTCACCCTTACAATTTGATCGCCTACCTAGATCAAATCATTAAAACATATTATTTACCTGAAAAATCGTATTTGTGAAATCTGTACAATGAACCTCATATTTAAAGAATAGAATCATAAACGAAATGCGGATATTTAACGCACGAATGAACGTCTTTTCTCCATTGTATCTATTAACTGCATCGTTTATATTAAACGAATCAAAACGAATCAAATTACAGACTACCAATGGATTTCCTGTCAAGTAGACTATCGTTCCTTTGATATCGCAAACATTCTATGCCATGTATCTAGCTCAGGTATAAATATATACACACACATACATATATATATAATAATTGACTCAAAATAAACTAATTCCACAATTAGTTCGTGATTATGAAATAATTATTGGATAAAAATAATTTTAAAAAATTCTTTAATAAAATATACAAATATACTCACTCTCAATCCATTTCTGTGAGCTTCTCCTCCCGGTTGTACATCACTGACATAAAACCCAGCCGAATATTCGCGTCCACCACGTAAAGAAAAACCAAAGCCAGAAGCACCACGTCTTCTCAGTCGTACGTTCCTGGTGACGCCAATGACAGCCACTCGTCCACCTCCTGTCGGATTTCCCCCAGGTGTCCCGCCGGCACCACCAGAAGAGGATCCCGTGCTAGTACTGGACGTGCTCGGAGATCCACCATGCCTGTAAATCCCCAAGTCATTAATACGTTGGCTAATTACGCCTAAGACTGCTAACGTAAATTCTACCAGTCACCCACAATCATTAAGCACTGTAGATAATCGTGGTTTACTAATTCCTAACTTTTACACGATACCTGTGCGCAATCATTTTTTTTTTGTTGATCCATCAACAATCCACGTTATATAGTCTCCGTGAATGAAATAACGGTCAATCTAATTAAATTGCATACTATTCTGAATACCAAATCATTATACAAGTATCTCCTCGGCAGCATCCTGGAAATTTCCAGTAACCAGTTTCCGAGGTAGTTTCCTAATGGAATTCAATTTCGTATTATTGATCAGCACCCCGTAGTGCAACTTGCCTATCATATTTGTATCATTCGCTTAAGTTGCACAATCCTATTAAAGGACACGGAGACACCGAATTTCAAGGTGCAATAGAAATGAAGTAACTTTGTACAAACAATTAATTGTTACAGGGTTAAATTATTGTGAGTGGCACTGTGCTGGATGAACGATTAGGAACAATAGGAATTGGACTTGACCAGCTTTACTGTGATTAAGATGACATTAAAATTTTTCTTTAAGCTTCGAACTATCCACGTTCGTCTCTTTTATTGTTTGATGCCACCACTATGGAATTTCAGACTTTTTTCGCAACGCAAAAATCTCGTCCTGAAACTTGCAGCATTATGCGAATCTAAAAATATTTAACGTGTATTCGCTAGTGGTACAGAGAATCCATCATCGGCATATAAATTGAAACGGTGTGCGCGAGAGGCGCATGTCACGAGGGATAATTAAGGCGCGATATAAGCCGTATACAATCGTATGGCAAATGACAGTCATTAAGAAAGTCGAGACAAAGGCACCTCTCGACTACTCCATTTAAATGACTTCGAGCCAACTTCTCTTTCCGCGAGGATTTTGCAAGAGTTTTCATCGCGTCTTAAGATACGGATTCTATATAATGCATTATACGTATTATATATAGTATATAGTATGCTGGTTCGATAAAGGTATCGTATACGCTAAAGAAAACTTAATACCTACCTCCTTTAAGACAAACTTTCTATACGCATTGATATTTCTGCTTATATAGCGCTATACGTATAAAATACATTATCAGTCGACATAGTTGATATAGTAATTTTTCATTCTGGTAGCGTCCATGTTAATTACACTCAGCACGAATACACACACGAGACTGTGTCATCGGCTGTCGGTGAAAGGTGATATATTAGACGGTACATACTAAAATAATTTTAAAAAAGAACAGACACACCCTGACCCCCTGACAAATACTAGGTTCTAGGTTCCCCGAATTAATTTTTTATTCTATACTTGTTCACGATAACTTTCGACAATGTCAAGAAAGTTTCCACTGCTGTACCCAATGGTTAAAATTGAGTTTAGCTGATGACGAAGTTTCTTATTCCCCTTTGTGAAAATTCTAATATAGTCAATTCGATTCTACGTATATTATTAGGGTACTGGAATACAGTGCAGAGACTGTCTCCCATCGTCCCATCGGAGGACGAGTTTTCTCGTGTTAAAAATGTCCGATGGAAAATTTGTTTTCGTTGCGGTCGAACTAACAAGAGTAGGAAACTTGACAGGAGGAGATAGCCGCTTGTGCTAAGCATCGACTTTCTTAACGCACGAATGAGCTCGATTAACTCTTGCAAAGTCGGCCCTCTTCGACCTCGGTCGTTGATCTAAAAGCCCTGCCGCAGACGAGCGATTTTTCAAGGAGGTCGCGCCACGCAAAATGCCAACAATTTGTACGCATTTGTACGACCGGTTGCACCTCTCTATCTAATACCACGTGAATAACTCGTATTAGAACTAGGTAAACAGTCTTTAGCGAGGGGCCAACTTCTTATGTATTACAAACCAAGGAAGTCCCTTGTGTTTCACACCGATGGTATGGCTTGATTATATAGATCTTGGTATCACTGAAAAATATGAAATGTAGAATTGTAGTACATATTTGGTACTTCCTCGATTCCATTTCTGGAATTGCAATACTTATCGCGAAACTTGCTCTAGTGACGATCCAAATAACCCCCCTCCCCCCTCCCCCAATAGCATCTAGTTTACTACATAAATGCGTATATAGTACAAACGAGTATGCCTTATATACATTTACTCGAGCGAAAGTGTAGACCAGTAAGTAGGATTTTATATCGCGAGAACTAGTTCAGCAGAGCGAAAATATGTGATAAGTTTATTGTTATTCCAAGTAACACTGTTTGCTGTATCGTTACAGCATTAAAAATCAATATATTCACGCAGCAACGAAGTCTCGGTGAAAAAAACAATACAATTTTTCAACATCGCACAACCAACATTCTATCCAAAGAATAAGTATTCCCAGATTAAAGCGGCAGATGCATCGATACGTCTTATATCGTTCCTATCAACCTTGTCGGGATCAAGCAAATAATATCTCTTGCAAACAGAATGAAAAATACACGTGAGATACGAAGACGATAGGTACAATAGAAAATAGATCTAAAACAAAGATACGAAAAAGGCCAGTAATGCGAGCATATCTCTCCAAGGTGAGATTCACGTTGCTGAGTATCGGCCCCTCTCCCTACAGCTCTCCTGAGATCTTTGAGAAATTCTAGTAACTTCCACCCAGTCAATGACACTCGTTGGCTCGTTTCTCTTCTCACGATCATCGGTACAAAACAGGAGCGACATGACTGGATGATCTTGCAACAATGACGTGGACGTTACAAGAATCATCTATTGGTAAGGTAGAGACGGAGAAAGAATACAGAGGACAACGAAGAAGAATCCGAAGAAGGATGATAGACGGAGTGAAAGAAGAGCAAGAAAGGAGAGAGAATAAAAGGAAGTATAGATACCTAAAAGTCAGAGGGATGGAAAAAGTGCGAATCTAAAGAGACAAACGTGACCAAGCAGTTAGGTACACAAGTGACGACGAAAAGGTGTATAAAAACGTGATGCGCTAAATTTTTGTTCCTTTGTCAATTTATAATAACACTTGTCCAATTCTCGCGATAGTCGTTCACGCGTGTTCTTTGTAATTTGGCCATACGCGCAGGTATGCACTTGAGAATTGCTTGATGTACGTAGCAATGCGTACGCCAGGTGGGCTTTGCTTACCAGGAGTCAGAGACCAGACGAGCGTCGAGACGAGAGGTATATACGAGCACATCCGTAAGCAGGAGGCGTGCATAAGGCCGGTCACGTATGTAAGAAACTCGCATATGTGTACTCTCGGGTAGACGATGTGTGTCAGCGGGTCAGTGACTTCTTTGACTGGTAGAGAAGCGAAGAGTTTTCAATACGTTATGTGAGTTTCAATGAGATCTTGCTTTTCGAGAATACATCAATCGCTAGGCGTTTGACGTACGAGCTCGTTGAACCCATAAAAGAATTTTACGTGAACGTTATGGAGAATTGTAAAAAAAAAAAAGAAAATTCGAAAAGTAGTATTAGAAATCAATGTATATTACCTTTCTGTCTCGATTGATAATTTGACTTGGACTTGTGCTTATATTTTTTGTTTCTTTCTTTTATAGCCATTTTGCACTTAGTTCGGGAAAGTGAACGGTGGTACGCGTGACTTTCTAGGTCCAGGACGAGGAACGCAGCGATGAAAAATCCCCATAAAACTATCGTAAAGGCCGTCGTAGGAAGATGATTGGATGTTGTAAATGTATTTGCAGTCGAGTGGACGTGAAGAAACGACGTTTACATTGCTGCGTGTTACTTGTCAGCATCGCTTCGATACTTCTTGGTTCCAATTAGAAGTCATTGCCGTATCCCGTCATTTTTCGGTCTGGACATTTACGATACTCTTCCGGTTATTGCTTTCTTTACGCTATGGTTTCATTGGATCTTGCGAAACAGGTCGATTCGATAGATAATAATCCTACGTTCCTTTCTACGTGTCCAGGAAGCGCTGAATAATCGTCGATACGTTATCCTTTCGAAATAATAATAATGATAATCGGTAATAATGCTTGAAACGCTGTTAAAGTATTTTTTCTTGAATTTCAGAATACCATTCTGATAGATTCAAAACAATTTTATCATAAACTCAAGATACCTTCCTGTATTGGATACTGCGTGGCCATTGCTCCCAAAGACACGTCCGGCCGAGCCGGAGGTGGTGCTACATAAATTAATTGTTCCTATTTACAGTTATCCAGTACTGTCGTATCATGAATTCTTGAGATGAAACCACTTTTTAGATCATCCGGGAATGCCAAGGACAGTCCAGTTGCGTGGCAACGCGTAGCAATGTAATTCCATATAGCAGAGAGGACACATTCCCACGAAGGAATTATTGAATTTTCGTCCAGCTCCATTACGCACGGATGTAACTGCCAGGAATTGAAATGAACAAATTCGAAGAATAAATGAGATTTAATGTAACGACCGAGGTAATTAGGGCAGATAAAATCAGGAAAGTGTGGACGAATTATCTCCGACTCAAATATACATCACAATGACCGTTGGACTAGCCAGTAGATTTTACTCAGTTGATTCGTCAGATCAGTGACCCTATAATTTCGTACGGTGCCACCTTCTATCTCGAGTTTTTACACGGCAAGAGCATTCGAAGACACAAGATAAATGTACGAAGGTACCGGGAACATTGTCGCGCTTGAACCATATTCCTCTTTATATTTCATCTTCCATTAGTCAAGATCATATTGTCACCAGGCAAGACACGCAAGAGCTAAAAAAAAGTAGGGAGTGATAGGCGTGAAGAAAAGTGTAGGTATGTAATTATTTATATAAGTTTCCTGCGCGAATTTCACCGATGCGCGTGACGGCTCGCGAAATCGACCCAGTTTGTCCAATTGTTTGTTATCGCAGGGACACCGAGGTATCCGGATTTTGTTTCACGGAAAAAAATAGAAGCTGTAAAAGTTCCAGAACAAATGTACGAGAGTAGTACTTAGTACTTTGATAGCATAAGTCGCGTGCAGCTCTGAAATAATTTTTTGATACGTCAGATAGAAAATTTCACTGTATAACACTGTTTCACAGAGATTTTTAATATTTGCCGAAGGATCGCTATCTACCATAAATATATTGTTAAGTGTAGTACACACTCCCTAAGAGTGATTATAGCATCAGCTGCCGTGAACTCGATGTTTACTATATGAACGATGATTTTTTCTAACCTTTCCCATGACTCCTTGGCAAGTATTACAGCCCCAAGTAGGATCGTGCAGTTTCGCATTGCTTCGCGGATAGGGTAGGACACAGTAGACCTGTTGGATAGGCAGATTTTCTGGACGTGAAGGTAGAGTACGTTATTACGTGTAGTATACACAGTGAGAAAATAGTATGAAACGTTGTGAGAGACGTAGGGAATGTCGAGACATGGGTGGGGATCTGCATCACTTCCATAAGCCACGTTATAACGTAAATAACGATGTAACTGCCATCGCAATCCTTAATTATGCAACCTTCTTCTTCTTGTTCTTTGCTCGCAGTGAAGACAGCGTGAGTTTTCTCACGCATTACGAGTTCCTGGAGGACAGACAGAGGTCCCTCCCCCTGACGTGTTCGCAGGCGCGCCATCTTCCTCGTGGCTCGATAAATAATCACGGGAACCCTTCGATATATCTCTAAGTGCAATAAATAATGTATTGCACAAAGACGCATCGAATGCAAACGTTAATTAATATTCTCGTAATATACCTAACAAAGTGAAAAGGTGTTTCACTCGTGGTATGCGATAGAGAGTTCGGTGTAAAATAAATCAACAAAGTCATTTTCCTCTTTTCAGTATCCTTGTATACAACTGTGAGTTTGTTTATTGCATATTTTTCACGTGCCTGTGCGCGCAGTCTGGCGGTCATTTTATGAAGTTATTTTAAGACGATAATACAACGCTAATGATACAGTGAAAATGACTTATGACTCACCGGAAAGTGAGTTCCTAATAGAGAATGAATCTACTTAGGTTCCAAGTGGACAGAATTGCCTTTGGTAATGTAGCATCACAATGCGCCATACTCCGATACCTTTGTAAATACACGTTCTCGCAATTAAAATCGCCATACAATGGATGCCGTTGTTACCACACGCCGTAGACAAAACTTGGTATCGTCGAGGACGCCCTGTGTGTAGGTACGTATTGTACGTCTATGGCTGGGTAAGACGGTAAAAGCGTTCTACGCAGGGAATTTTTCGAATTGACGTATTACGTAATTCAATGGAGCGTTTCTGCGAAACAAGAAAATATTACTGAACAATAATGATGATTCCTTACGATTATAAAGGACTCACTATACCGGAAGTCAAATGCGAATTACGCTTCCACTTGAGGTTAACGAGAATCATAAACCTGTCCAGGTTGTTCAGATAGAAATCGTCCAATGTGACCTGAACTATGTTAAGACTGTGGAGCAACAACTTAGAAAATGATGAATATTCTCTATTCCTGAAATACAAAATGGCACCGAACCCGTTTAGAAGTTGCTATGAAATCTGGAGAAGGGACAATCCTAGTCACTGTTTAAATTTAAAAATGGATTCTTTCGGAAAGGAAATTAACGAAGGAAATATTACATCGCAGAGACAAAACTATTCGCGGTATTTCTCGGAACCTGATATCTACTATCCAATTTAAATACCAACCTGTATATCCAATGTACCTACGTACGTGCGTTTCGAGTCTCCAAGAGCAATTATGTTGAGTAGTACCTAATGGAAAATGGCGAGCAAGCCTTGTGCACGCCAGGTTTCTTTTTGCTTTTATAAACCCTCTCCACGGGTAGAATTCCGTGGGCAATTATGAGTCGTATTATGCCCAACGAGCCGACAGCCACTTACGGCGAAATAGGCGGTTTGCTTTGCGTATAAACAATCCAAAGGATCGTCTGCAGAAAATCTCCCCTAAAGTATGAAAGTAGGCCGTCATGGCTGCCATCGCTTCACCACCATCCCAGTGTCAGGCCACCGCCTTTCTTCGAGGTCGTGCCAAATGCATGAATTTAACACGAAAGGGGTCCTTTAAATCTCTCTCCCTCATTGTAATTGTATTTCCTAATTTCATAAACCGCCCACCGATATAATCGGAGGATACACCTTACCTCACAGCTTCTCGTGGCTTTTTATACGCCTTGAAAAAAAAATTGTTAATTTTTCAGGAAAACGATAAACGCTAATACATTAGGTGGAAGAACCACTATATGTATAAGGCCTGATAAACACGAGGTTCATAAACCACTTCCGGAACGTCGACCTTCTACATAAAGCACGGTTCACTACGACCACCCCTATCTATCCATATCTTATTTGTACGACGCGTAAAATTCATACCTGACATTTATACTGATTTAACAACAGCTTGAAACTAGCATACTAGAAATTTATCGTCGTCCATTTTTATAGGAAATGTTTTAGGTAAGAGTTTCACTTTGCAGTTTAATTTGTGTTATAAGATGGAATAGAGCAGTCTTACTGACCGTAAAGCCTTTTCACTCTATGTCCCGCATACGTAACGTATCCATATAGGACGCACGTGCGAAACCAGTGGTAATAAGTTTAACGTAATAGATGAGCAACTAAGTGCGTGCAAGTGGATCATATCCGTTGGAATTTCCATGGATAATGTAAATGCACTTTAATGGATACTATATAAACAAGTAATTTTTTCCCTCAATCTATACCAAGCAGTAACTCGAGTTCACTTTTAGTGAATATGTAGAGTAAAATGTATACGTGACGTAAAGCTTACCCGTATACGGCTTATCCACTCGCCATTATAAACTAGCTTAAACGATAACAAGCTATCGTTGGTTAAGACTGACTGGCAAAATTCCTAAAGAGATCTGTAGCCAAGATGAACGTTTTCTCTAGTGGATAACTTGCAATGGCGGCTTATTGTCGAAGAGATTATTATACTTAAGAGCAGATCCTTCTCAAAGATACAGATCATTCGAGGGTATCGATGAATCATCCTCTAGTAAAGGATTCGCGTCTATTCATGGGGTGGCTTGTGAGTTTTTGCTTGTATGCACAGTCGCCAGGGTGCGTGTTATGAATTATAATACACTTGTATGACTAAGGAATCAAATAGAAGGCGTTGGATAGAAAATAAAAGTGGTCAATAATCTTATTCATTTTGGCCTGCCAACAGCTGAGAATTTATTGTCAGGTGTAAAGGTATTTAGAAATGAAAGTAGACCTGTTGTAGACGTTGTACTGCGATTATTTGAAATTGGCAACCATTACAAATTGTAAGTGCAACGGTCCGATTACGATTCTCAAGAAGTGGTTTTACGTGGTTGTTTCTAGAAATGGATAACGAAATGAAAGAAAACGTTACCAATTGTCAGCGAAGAAGTGAGTACAACTACCGCACGGCGCAGATCGAATGCCGCTCGATCCAAAAGAGTCGCGGTCAATGGCTGCGGTCTGCAGGTTCAAGGAAAAGGTGGAACTGGCTTATAGAGGAGAGACGAGAGGTGATTGTGCTCCAGTGAGGGAGACGATCAGGAAACGCGTGACGGAAGTTTGAAAATGCAGGTTAATGGCGTAGAAAAGCTGTTGGTGATCTTATACGTTGTGAGGATCAATGTAACGATTGAACCGGCAATTCCTGACATAGTGACTTCTGGAAAATACGTCCGAGTCGATTACGTGCTGTACCCAGATACCATAATAAATACCAATGCCTATGCAATTCAAATAAAACCGATACTCTATAGGTAAATTCAGACGGAGAATCCTCTCATCATAGAAACTATTATTGCTGAAGGGATACATTGGTTCCATGTAAATAAGAGGTATCGAGTCTCGTGCGTATCCTGGTGCGTGGCATGCGTAAAATGCCGGACATGCTTTTGTTAAGTTTTACTGCATGCCACCATTCTCTTTCGTGACTCCTCGTCCTTTTTAGTACGCGAGCAATAGAAAATACCGGAAAATCAATAGTTCTCATTGCAGTATCCAGGAAGGTACCTTATCTAAATTTTATCTGCATATTGTCATAACGTTAAAAGTAAATAGTGAGGAGGAATACGTTTAAATTGTTGATAAATAACCATTTCGAAATAAGTCTGCATATATCTGAACGCATAAATAAAACACAACGTGATACTAGGTATGCCGGGATAATGAGTTAAGTAATTAAGTAACGTCGTTATGAAACAAGGTATCGTTCTCCTTAAATTTGTATAAAAATACATAGGCTAGAAATGTACACAAAAGTTTTCACCATAAAACCGTGAGAACACGTCGACCTGTTCCCAACCGAGTTTCGTCTTCGTGACGCGATAGTAACCCCCTCTCACTAGCACCCACCCATTGAAAATAGCCATGTAAGAGTAAAAGCCAAAATATCGATCAGACTTATCCTACCTATGCATGTAGGCCGCAGTAGACATGTTACTATCCATGGGGTGGGTTCCATATAGCGCCAGTCTGGCTTTCCCTCGATGATTAACACTGCCTCGAATTAACAATATCAGCACCACATAAAAATGTCAATGACTCGAGTGCTGTTGTAAAAGTTTGAACAATAATCCAATCGGCATATCAGTTACGCGAAAGAAAGATATACGATAGCTGCAACGTTCTCTAGTACTGCACTGCGCCTTTGGATTCACCACGACCACGAAATATATAGCTTCCTTCGCTCCTCGGGGTCGTAGGGAAGACTGAAACGAAATCTAAATGCTCGTGCGCCCGTTCTTCGCGGCACTGCTGGCGTGCTTAGTGGCTCGACGTGGTGGGGATGGACGTTCACGAAGGTACGGATGGGTCGCCAGCCGACTGCCTATTTGACTGTGCTGCTGCCGGTTGCTGGTGGTGTTGCTGCCGGTGCTGCTGTTGTTGATGGACTGTTGCGGCTATTGCTGTTACCGTGACACCGCTGTACAGACTGTATTGGACAATAACGTACACCTGTAAACCACCTATACGTTCCTAAGGAGAAACTAGTATACGTGTGCTGCTTGTGGCAGTAGACATGACACAGTCATATGTCGGTCTAATGTGTATACAATAATGCACCGCCCTTTTAGACAGCGTTCACCTGTGCAGCTTATAACCCTGTAGAAGAGAGAAACTTGAGCCTGGTACAGTCATCTCGTGCATGTGTAGGGCTCTCCATTTTACAATTAATATTGACTGTCGGACAAGTGTTTTTTAATGAGTAAAATAGAAAGAGAGAAAGAATAGAAATTTCTCACAAAATGAACGCAAGGTATAAGCACACTTATATTGCATATATGTAACTCTTGTGGATTACTTTATTTTTTATTTGTTTTTATTGGCTTTCGAAAATTGCTTTGCTGATGGATAAAATATTCTACACAGAAAAACTCTACACGACTTTGCTCAACCCCTAGGATTAAGATTGCTGGGAGTTGAAAAATTAAGGCTATGGACTATAGACGGTTGCCACCGCCCTTTTCCCTGCAGTAGCTCTGCCATATATATGTATATAGACACTCGCAATTCAAACCGCTTCACCTACCTTCCAGTATAACCAGTGCCATCTACTTTCCTTATTCGCTACAGAGACCGGAACGAACTTGTCCTGCTGAGTCGAACGTTCCACTTTCATTCGTAATATTTCCAAAATGACATATACTATACAATCCTCATATAAAACCTCAATATTATGTAGGAGACATCGAGTTAATAAATTTATTAAAAGTCAAAGACTCCTATCGCTAAGGTACAAAATACAGACTGCTATAAAATGGATCAGGACGTCTCTCTTCCATTCTCCACAATAACAACTTCTACGGTTCACTTCCGTCTGTAGTTCATCCACGCCTTTTACTCACCATTGGGAATTGACGAAGGGGATGAAATCAATACTCATCGTTGCTTCCGCTGCTACTGTTAGGATGCGTGCGTAGGTCACGTAAAATTTCTACTAGCGAATGTGACATATTCAAAATCCATTTTTTTTCTTATTCAAAGAACTTTTAGGAGTATTTCCAGGTGTCTATAATTTTCTGATCTTTTCCTGGCTATTATAAATGCCAGTGACACGTGGCAGATTGTCCTATTCATTCGAATACTCCCTTTCTTTTAGGTATCAGGTATGTGTTGTATACACAGTGTACTTACAGTGGCGCCCTCACATACGAGGTCCATAAGGAAGGGCGGTTCTTGTATCATATATGCAATGCGACGATACATGATAGCTTAGCACTATAGGAGTGCCAGAGGATGACGCATATGTTCACCCCATGAGAAGTGCATAAACGACCCTAGAGTTCTAACCGTCGTTTTAAATCTAACTCGCACGCAGATCCATTACAAATATTTTGCATCCTTATCTTACGATTTAAAACTTTTATTAATTATTTTAAAACATAATATATGATTTAATATTCTTAATATGCTATAGGCCTTGTAAATCTTGATACTTATACTTTCGAGCATTGTTCTTATCATTAAATATGTTATCTTCATTGATAGTCACGTTGATAATCAAGTACGTAGTAGCTGCATAACTGGTACTCAAAAATTGCTTGTATCTCCAGCAAGTTTGTATTCGTAAGCAATTGGTTTTTTTTTCGTTTTTGCAAACATCTCGTAATCAAGGGCTCTTCCCGAAGGTGAACCTATCCAGCCAATGAATGCAAAGGGTAGAAATTATGCCGTCAACTGTACCGCGAATGCCCGCCTGCAATATCGACTTGGACCACAGTCTCAACGGTGTGCATCGGCCACCTGTATATATGTATACATACAGTATCTACCTGTATATACGTTATACATACAATATCTACCTGTATATATCTATCTATCGCTGCAAGTTATAGTCAGTTCTGCGCAGAGGTTCACTATTGGAATTTCTATACGAGAGTGTACTAGGGAGAATACGCATCTGAATAAATAAAAAAACAAATTTTTGTCATGGGAATGTGATAATAGTAAATATTATAAAATCAATTGATACAGCGGTATGGACAATAACAAATTTTATTTATTGTATATTTACTTTATTTAAGAAAAAATACATGTTTTTTTTTCTTTAATTAAGGTGTCTAGTATTAATGTGCGTAATAAATAATTTTGATGATTGCTTTTGGGATTTCGGTTACCTGAGAGACACTGCTTTACTATAGGCAATGAGTATAGGATGGTGCATGAAGGTACAACGAGTTTCAAAAGTAGAAATTCAACGAGGTAAAATTAATTTAGTGAGTTGGGCTCTAGTGCGTACACTAAGAAATAATGTTGACTATAATTAGCCTTATTACACGAGTACATCATATGAGGAATTTGCCAATTGGAATTTATACGAAATAGAGTGCCAAATTATTCTTAAGCGATCATCCACGGAGAAAAAGCTAATTACAGGATGTATATGAATTAACTGGAAGGATTTACTGACATATATTTTATCATAGTACATCGTGTACAATCGCATACCTCTATATGAATTGAGATAAATGTAGAATAACTAACATGACTTAAATAATCTTAACCTACACTGTGAGATGTCTCACATAATGCGAATATTGTAATTAATACTCAAACGAAGACTCATACTTGTATATAGATATTTAGGTAAAAATGCTTTCGGTATCAAAAACGGCAATAAGTTTACAAAAAATCTTATCCTTTTTGCGAGACCATTGATACGAATGTAAAATCGATAAAGCGTTTTATATACTTAATGTTTGTAATAACATTACGCAAGACAATCCGTATCGCTGGAGCGCATGGTTGCATGCTCTTATACAAAGTACAGAAAAAAATAAATGTACTTATTAATAACTATAAAGATTTCATGAGACGGTTCATATACTTTTTTCTGTTTTTTTGATTCTTGCGAAGTGTTCGTTCGATTCGTAGTATAGGTAACTAAAAAAATGATGGCGGAGGGAGTGATTGTTGATATTGGAGAGTTGTACGACATCGTCGCTTTTATAAGAGGATCATCATCATCGTCATCTTCCTCTCGTTTATGAAAGTGTTCAAAGAGAAGACGCCTCATAATACGTACGATACCTCGCGTCATTCTATCATCTTGAAGAGTGCACACGAAAAGATCATGCCAAAGAACTGTAATCAAGAACGAAGAAAATTCGATGAGTATAGTAATCATGACGAAGAGAATCCTTTCACAATCCCACGAGTGTTAAGGTTGTCAAGTAAATTGTATTTTAAATTGCGAAAACCGCATAGTGCATCAACACGAGTCAACAAGATTAATATGTAACTTCGGGTTGAATCTCGTTGCAATCATAGAATGCACAGTTGATATCTTCACTGTTCAACCGTGGAAAAGGAAACTTTAAAATCTATATTATCGACAGAGCTGATTTCTCTTACCATCAGCAAGGCGACTGCTATACCGGCACCACCTAGTACTGCTGCATGTTTCTGCAAGTGCACCTGTGTACGATTGACGCAGCCTTCCAGATACGTTGTCGTCGCTATCACCGTGTCAGGACCGGTGTTGCAGTGGAAACGCTGTAGAAAGAAAAGCATTCCGAATCGTGAAAGCCGAACAATTGTGTGAAAGCGTGAGAATCACGTGTACTGAGGTCAAATTGTTATGTCCGATATTGATCAGTGTGCATTTACTTCCTCGAGCGGTAAGTATAATTGACATAATTGATTTTAGGATCTTCGAGCAAACTTCTTGACAATTTCAAATTATTTGAATCAAATGTCAAAGTCCTCTTTACCCGTCCAGGTTCAATTTCGCGACAGCAACTGTCCGGGAGTTCCAGATTATTCCTATGCCAGTCCCGCCAGCTATCGACTCCGCAGCATTGCATCTACATGGGAGAAAGTTCGAAAGTGGATTTAAATCTCAATAAGAATTTCAGTGTGAATAGCATGTAAAAGTAATACGCTTATATTGTAGAATTACAATAAGTACTGCGATTATTATTGCTATCATCACTAAGACTTTCATTATTGGCAATTATTAAACACTATTGTTTACCAAGGTCTGAGTGGTATTCCAAGCCGTTCGGATAGATGCATGTTTGTCGTACTGCAGGAGCGAACTCTTCATCTCACGATGCATGGTGTCGACGAGTTTTTCACGAAATACGTATCCAAGGACGCCGCCGACAAGCATCGTCACAAATAGCAGGAATACAATAATGAAGTACTAGGAAAAGATGAGCCAGTTTTAATATAAAAATTCATCATACCTTATATATTTATTTAAGTAACTAATAAATATTCTTACCGTAAGCAGCATGCATTTTATCTCACGGGATGCACCAATGCATCCGAAAAATGCAATAAATGCCACTACAATGCCGCCAACCAGCAGGACGTAAACTGCACCAGACAAAAGATCGTTACCAACCAATTCACCAATGAATGGGATTTTTTCTACCAAGGCCCATATCGATAGTCCAGCTACGACGACACCACCGATCTGAAAATGACGTCAGTTCATAATTTTTTTTAAATGACGTTCTTATACTTGATATGTGAATGACGTCAGGCAAGTCTTCTTGAGATCACGTCATTCTACGTAAGTATAGATCGAAGTCGGTCATTCCTACAAATAGAACTTAATTCAAGCGCACAGAATATTTTACCTGTAGCTACTACTACCGATATAGTGACTATGGGTAGTTGGGAACTGCTAATTTAATAAATTTTACAAACACTCTTGAATGATTCAGTCTTTAGAAGAATGTATTACTCACTTTGAATAATACCTTCTCTGAATCAACGGGAGACATCAATTGTAAAGTACAAAGGAAAAATATATGAACTCTAATATATTCGATAATTACATCTGTTACACAATGAAGATACCAATGACGATTATCGGGTATTGCGCAATTTGTCTGAAAACGCTACGTGACTTTCCATTGCTGATACTTACGAATATGAGCAAATTAGCGAAAAACAGTGAATATTTCATGCAACGGCCACAGCCGTCTATTTCTGTACCGTATCCCATGGCGTATTCGTTGATCTGCAACAGAACAATTATTTTATATATTTTTTTTAAACGCATGGATCAATACAGTACGAAAACGTATTATATCAATTTCATAAAAATTATAAAGCGCCACATTGATTAGAGAATAATAACTAATTTACACATACAGAAAGATTTAACAAAACAATTATTATCTTATTTCTAATAATACCGAATATAGTGGATAGCGCATGGTGTAACGATTCATTCGTTCGTCGTTTATTATAATTTTTAGAAATAATAAATTTTTTTCACTACAATACTACAAGAGAGAAAGCAACCATTTGTTCACTAAAGGCACACACTGCGCACTGTAATAAATTCGATTGATTCGTATTCCTTTTTCTCTCACTATCACGTATTTTCTTCGAATATAATCCATTGTATACGTTTATGGTTGATAGTCAATAATATCAAGTTTATTTACTTCGTATAATCGTCGACGCGTCGCTTTCGATTGCTGTCCCATGGTGGTCGATTGTTTGTGGCACGAGTTAAGAATTAAATAGAGGGAGAACTTGTCTCTAGAACGGTCAAACGTCTAATGTGAATTGCTTCATTCTCTGTCTCTCGTTTCTCTGGCACAAAGGCTAAGCTGAATGTAAAAGTGCATACTTTTTGGCGTGTGTGTCACAGCGTCGCAGGAGAGAGAGGATCTGCGTGACCACTCTCATTCAATTCAGTCATTGCGCATAGTTGAAACTGCAAGGATTTCTTCATTCGGAAAAGGCACGTTGTCAATACAATTTTACTGCGAATTTTGATTCCTGAGCTTTATTATTTCGCATGCTAAAGACAAATATTATCTGATCGTTATAATACCTCTGTGCCTCATATTCCTAGATGTTGTATCTACTACAAAGGCTAAGTTCCAAAATTCACTGCCAGTACTATGAGTATAGTGTCTCTCTTTACCTACGTGTAATTGAGTGAGACGCAACCATGCTCGCGGTACTAGCAGTGAATTTCGAAACGCACTCAAACTGTACACGTAGGTGTTGAATATATTGTGAAAATTGACAGACCGTGCCCATAGTTGTTTCAAAGTCAGTCTTGTAAGCTCAAAATTCTTTCTTACGAGTTTCTCTGTGAAAGTGGACGCTGCTACGCAAATGGTCATGGCTCATGGCGCAAACTCGATTGTAATTCGTAACGTTGAGATTCAGTTATTTAGTAATTGGCTTAGTGATGTCACCGTATATTTGTGCACTACTCGATGGCACTTTCGCAATCATTCTCAATTCAGAATATCCGGTGTTATTCGTACTTTGCCAGTTCACTTTCTGACGAGGAAACTATCTTTGGTGTCTCCCTCCGATTTTCTTCATTTCGAGATATGTTAATCTTCATCGAAATCTAAGTAATACGTATTTTCTTTTATTCAAGGAAAAACGGTTTTAAGGACTGAAATGAACCGCTAAAACTGGACACCTCCAGCAGTAGTTTCGGATATTTCCAGTTGAGATATGGAATGGAACCAATTGGAGAATAATGCTCATGGCGAATAATGAAAAATGTATTTTGCTAGATACCTATGAGGTGAAATTATAAAAATTTGTAGAGGTCGAAAGTTACATAATTTTTAGAAAAAAAAAAAATTATCCATAGTTTTATTAACGGAGCCAATTGTATTTGAAAGAGCTAGAAGTAGGAACGCGTGTCTTTGCGTTTTTCAAAGAACCTCGTTTAAGGGGTGAACTGCCCCTATACATGTGCAACCAAATTTCCGTGAAAACCTTTAAAACCTTAGACGCATTCACTAGTAATGTGAATATTGATTGCTTGAAATGTTGTCAAAAATAACTGTATAACATTTATCCGATTAGTCTTCATCTTTGTCATCATCTTTTTTTGGCACACGTTGCGTCAGTTCAGGAATATATTGTAGCAAACAAGATTAAAATCTCAGGGATATCAATTATTTACGTTTCGCTTGATTCGATGCATTTAGAAATCTTAACCTTCTCAAACGGTATAGGATCATCTCCTGCAATTTATTAAATAAGATTTGAAATAGAAAGAATTTTGAAATAATTGGAGAGGCAAATTTGAGCAAGATAATACGGTTTTAACGGGAATTTGGATGCATTTTAGGGGCCCCTCATAGGGGCGTTCGCCTCTTAGAGCAATTTTTTCGCCGATAAAAAAAAATACATGCTACTTAAATTTTAATGAAGAATAACATATTTCGAAATAATAAAATCGAAGGGAGACACCGGAAACGGTTTCCTTGTGAGTTATCTATTATCAGAATTCTTACAGACTCCATTCCAAAATTCTTTTAAAGGGAGTTTCTTTCGAATATAGGTTTTAATACTTGCATTTTTATTGCCCTGTCAACGTTTTTCAATGAGAAGGATCGCTATGGCAATAGGTGTTGCGTGTTTTGCAAACCGTTTTAATGATTCCATTGCTATGATGTCAGCAATATCCATTAACCTTCATATACGTACTACTGCACAATTCAAAGTTCCATTACGGTCAGTGTTGTTGGACTTAATGTGTAGAAGCGACTTACACGAAATAATACCAGCGGCCTACTTCCTGAATTTTGTCTATTAACTGTAATTCTCTCATTTAGTGAAACTTCAAACTTCCAGTATATCCACCTATCGCAAGGACGCTCATGCTAACCTTGGACGCAATACGCAGGATAATTTACGTGAGGACAGTTCTTAGATGAAAATCAAAAGAAATTTTCTAGTACAGTGCGCTCTATCCTTGCACCATTTTCACATGCGGCTAACCACGGTGTCCTCGGATAGGTAAGACAAAAAATTAGGAAAAGACCAGGCAACAATACATCAATGAATTACAGGAAATGAGATAAATCTATACGGATGAAGTAACTATTTTTAACGGATACAGGAAGTTCGTAGAAATGTGGGAAATTTTTCGACGTTTGATTTTGTCAATTTAAAAAAAAGTATAGTGTATTGAAAGGATACGTCTTTTACTTTGGAAACTTTTATTGCGTACTGGGGACTCTTCACTTCCTCTTGAAGAAACCTCGACTCGTGCTTATGCGACACTATAAACTGCTTTATAACAATTGTTCCAGTATCCTTGCGAGACATGCATTGTTCTCATATATTAAAACAATTAATCTATTCGTCGTGATGTAAACCACAACTAGTGTCTGGGAAATGTGTGTCAGAAACATCAGTCATAGGTATATTGACATCGTTTTGGATGATCGCAGGTGTAAACGGATTTACGACGAACAACGCCACACCCAGAGAGTTCGTTTTTCTCCGTTAACTTGAAAAGTAGCCCTGTTGTACCGTCCCGAGTGACCGTTATATTTGAAAAATTCATTCTCATACTTTTAGGCAGGTTTAAATACACGTATATCCAATGAGAAATAACAACGTAGTACTTTATTCACTTTAATCTATTTATATGAGATCCGTTAACAATCATGCGTATACGTACATGCATGTGTGAATTTTTCCAACATCCTTTGCGTGCGTTTTAAAATATGGCAGCCGTGCTTCCTATCTAGATCATCATTTACCACTTGGAAAGGGCTTGTTACCGACAGAGCAAACCTTCGAGGAATTAATTTCCCGTAAGTAGGTCAGCTTGCTATCGTTACTTTAGTTCAAGACTCTGCAGGACTCTTTTGTGTCAATGCTAAAATCTTTAACTGAATCCTCTTATTCTTTCATACAATGAGAAAGAAACTGGCGGTCGACGTGAAACCAAGGGACGTCTGTTTATGGTAAAGGAGGCTAATGATTATTGTCTGCAGGTTCTACAGCAAGGATGGCATTTGATCTTATGGTATTCTACACTTTTTTTTTTCGTTGCGTTTCGTTGATGGCTACAGTAAGCATTTATGTCAGCATATGGTCTACCATATACCACATAGTTTTACCTATATATATGCGCGTACCATTTAACGTATTCGACTTTCCAGGTGAGTTTTGAGAGAAAGAAGTAGAGGAAAAGAGGCTATAGCTACATGGGAATGCCTAAGACTAGATAACACGAAGGGTGAAGAGGAAGCAACAGGAAAGTTGAGAGGAACGTATAAAGGAGTTGGTGAAGTATATATTGAGGAGAAGAGAAGAGAAGGGAGGAGCTGCGTGCAAAGGAGAAGAGAAGAGAAGGGCTCATTTCGAATACGAAAGTTACACAAGGCGAGGTCATCAGGTTTTACTGGTAGCGTCATAGCGATCCTCGTACTACGCGTTTGCTTACGTACAATCGTAAATATTAGAGTCACGTTAATGCGTATTTCCAAACAATACATCTTGGCTTTATAATTAACACCTAACCACCAGACAACGCCCTTGAATTCGACCAATTTCGCGTACATTGATTTTTAATGATATTACATTTAATATATGGGACAACGATTTAATGACATTAACAGGGATTATATTAAGTTAATTCGGTTTCATGTAAATTATTACGAAAGAGTTGTACTTATCCAACTTATTTGATTCTATTATCCATTATTATTCACTATCCATATTTATTTTTTTGTACGAAAAACATTTTCCCGCCATTCTCAATTCTTACTCTTACTCTAGAATAGTAAACACAACGTAAAGATGCAACATCATGTCTCAGGGCGTTTTCTACAAACTCCAACTAAACCGGTTGTTTCCTTCTTCTTAGAAATATGATCTAATCAACGCGTTATTTGCCTTCAATTCGGCGAAGGTTACATAAGTTTAAGAGGTACGCATACTCTATATACTCTGCCAACAAAAATCTATATTCCGAAAAAAAATGTCGTTTGAAGAAAAATTATAGAAATTCACGTTAGTTCTTTTTAATAATGACAATTGGAATTTCTAAATATCACACTTACCTTATATGCAGCAATTCAAAAGTATTTTCTATTAATATAAACTATTGTTTATAGCACCACACTATTCCAGAATCCCACCTCGGGATTTCGTATGATGGATGCAGGAATACTCGTCGGTCCCCTGATTGTTCACGGACCGTTCGACTAAAACTGAAACGGAAAACAGCTTTCGTTCTTCCAGCCAGTCGACAGGCTAGTCTATACGGGTGCACTTAACTCATAACTTGGTATACTATGGGCTCCAGCGAGAACGTATGCTATAGCACTATAGTAAAGTCAGTAGAGTTCTTCAAGTACCGCATTATACTAACAGGTCTGACAAACGTATACTCCAAGGAACCAAAGGTGGGGAGAGGCTCTGTGCCAGCAGCAGGAAAATAATGAATCATTTACCAATGTGCTGCATACCAATCACCGAGTTATTTCTCCAAGCAGACGATATTTCTTGCATAAATATTGTAATCTCAAAGGCGACAGTTTTTTCCAAAATTAACCACTTTATTTTAAAATCGGAAATAGAGTCTTATTAAATTTACCAGTATGTTTACTAACCAGTATGGATATTATATAATTTGTTATATTCACCCATTTTCAATCTAACTAAAACTGTCTGCAGGCATACGTTTCTGTTAATTTGACATCTATCGATATCTTTCATGTTTCTGATAACCCTAGCTGCCAAAGAGACAGCTAATTTACACACATGACCCGAATAATCAGCATTCAGAAAATCCGGCAGCAATTATGTATTTCGTTATGAAAGGAAACTAGAGAAAATTTTGTTAAATACAATATATGCATATAATATTTTTAATATTAACCCCTTGCATTATTCGGAACCTCGGGAAAAGTCAGGCCAAACGCGGCTGCCTCGATCGTCGCGGTGAACAGCGAGCGGTGGAGCGCGCGTGCCGAAACTTGATACCTATTCTTACGACCGAGCGCAAGGTAGTCGTGCCCGTATTTACTTCACGCGATGGAACTCTTGTGAAATTCAAATGAATTTGAATCAAAAACTTTTAAAAAATACTTTAATTATTACATAAGATGAAAACAAATTCTGATTAATTATAATAATATAATTTGGTCCGAAACTAAGACAACGAGTCAGACTCATCAAAATAGTGCAAGGTGTTAATAATGGAGTTCAAGTAGAATCCTTTTTCTTTCTCTTTTACAAATGTGTAATGATTAGGAAATGTATGTAAATTGTTTCATAGCTTTATTTATTAAATATGTACTGGATACAGGCAGTTCAACGGGGCTAAAATTGTTGTAATATCTATGTAATTCACGCTTGTCTATTCTACGTGGGTTGAGCATTGTGATGCAGTTATGAAGTCAGCACTAAAGTTAGTTATCGACCTTCCTACAGTTAAATTTAGTTTAACCTTTGAGATTGTGCATAAAAACTGTGATAATTCGATTAATATCAATACGTTAAAATAGCATCACATAAACATGTAATCTTTCAGTTAAATTATTGTTACGTTGTATAAGTGCTATAGTAGATTATGACATAAGCAAATTCAGCTTAAATAAATATGATCGCCGAACCATTAAATGACAAAGTCAATTTCATTGTTTTATACAAGTCATAAAAGAAAATGGCGATTCTATAAATATGGAGCGTAATTTCAATTTATTCCGCAAACTTTCTCCAGTATTATAGTGGAAACAGGATTAAAGCATTACATGAAAGTATAAGATATAGGAATAACTTCCACACAGACATTGAGGAAGGACCACACATGGTAGTCGAGAATAAATTACAACCTGACGTAAAAATATTAACAATGAAACAGAAAGGATAGGATACAAACGTTCAATAATCCGATAGAAAGACTGACTCTTAAAAGGACTGAAAGTCCGAGCTGAAATACTCCTTGTATGTACACCCAGGACATCATTCCGCTCAGGCATTATTCAACAAGTGCTGCAATGTTACTAGTAGAGGATCGAAAGAAAAATATCAAATTGAGGATACATTTTCTAGTGTTACGAGGGTCGTTCAATAAGTCTTTAGAAAAAAATATAAAAACAAATTATTTCGTGTAGATTTTTTTTATTTTTCAACATAATCTTCTTTTAACTCTATACACTTTTCCATGCGTTTCTCCAACTTTTTTAAGCCGTCCGAAAAGTAAGATTTCGGAAGGTCCTCAAAATAAGCATTTATTTGAGCGATGACTTCCTCGTTCGACGCGAACCGTTGTCCGGCGAGCCATTTTTTTAGGTTTGGAAATAAAAAAAAGTTACTGGGGGCCAAATCCGGTGAATACGGTGGATGTGTAATAATTCGAACTTTAATTCCGCAATTTTGGCCATCGAAACTGCGCAAGTTTGCACCCGTGTATTGTCTTGATGGAAGAGGATCTTTTTCTTTTTCAAATGAGGACGTTTTTTCTTGATTTCTTCGCTCAACCGGTGAAATAACGACGCATAATACTTTTCAGTTATTGTTTGTCCTTTTCCCAAGTAATCGGTGTAGATGATTCCGCGTACATCCCAAAAAACCGTGGCCATCACCTTACCGGCCGATTTCACCGTCTTCGCCTTCTTCGGAGCCCGTTCGCCTTCAAACATCCACTGTTTTGACTGTTCCTTTGTCTCTGGAGTGTAGTAGTGTATTCATGTTTCGTCCACAGTTATGTATCGAGGCAGAAACTCGTCAGGATTGCGACGGAAAAGTGCCAAAAAAGTCTCAGAGTCGACCACACGATTGCGTTTATTCTCCGCTGAGAGCAAACGCGGCACCCATCTTGCCGACATTTTCTTCACATCCAATTCTTTGTGTAGAATTGAAAACACTGTACCTTGCGATATGCCAGTGGCCTCAACTATTTTGCGCACTTTGATTCATCGATCACTCAAAACCATATTGTGGATTTTGTCAATCATTTCAGGGGTAGTCACTTCCACTGGATGTTCCGAACGATGTTCATCTTTTGTGGATGTACGGCCACGTTTAAACTCATTTACCCAATTGTAAACAGTTGCAAACACAGGAGCAGATGTGCTATGAACTTCATCCAACTCAACTTTGATCTCTTTCGGTGTTAAGCCTTTTAAATATAAGTGTTTAATCGCCGATCGAAACTCACTTTTTCCATTTTTCTAAATGAACACAAGTTTTTTGCTTCAATCGACAATAAAAATGAAACTACGTGACGGATATAACTGAGCCTTGAACAACTGTCTAGTGACTAGTGGTGTTTACTAAAAACATACCATTCTCGATGGTACGGGCACCATCTCTTAGATTTTCTAAGGACTTATTGAACGACCCTCGTATTTGCACTAATTCCAATTCTTCCTCTTCATAACTGATCGGACATGATTCGCTTTCCCAGAACCTTCAGTTACGAACTCGATTACTTCAAAAGTCAATTTGTAGTGTTAAAAATATACCATCCTAAACTCCATTAATGACAACCTGTCGTTGATTGAATAACGTGTCAAGTGTTATATTTTGATGAATGGTTGGACAATACCGACGGCTAAATGATATCGCGGTAAAGGAATAACAATCGAGATGTGTCAATTATATGTAACGTGAATGTGTAGTATAAAGAGGGATAAACGCATGAGTCAAGAAGCGTGACACAATGAAAAAGACATTTTCCTAAAATTGCATTACATTCTATTTGTATTCATGCCAGTTTCAATGGCACGGCCTACTGTCCTACTATTTTGCGAATCGCAATGTCACACTATGAATTGCAGGTGTCACTATGAAGAAATCCCGGATAGTGAACCTTGAACCGGTGTGAAGTCAGCTTAAAATTCGACAGTCCAAATTCAATTAAAATATATAAACTGTTGGTTTATAAAGAAACAACAGATAAAGACTGCAAATAGTACGTGAAGATTTATTTGATAATTTTGAGAAATGATACTCAATATAAGACTATGCAGAATTTATAGTGTTTATTGCCGGTATGAATTGAGCCTTAAAGCTCTAGCCCGGTCGTTCAAGATGGTCGCTAGAAAATTAAGATCCGATAGGTGCGGTTCGTTCATTCTTTTATGAAAATTGTAAATAGTGTCTTTAATAATTGTATCTTAGCAAGGAGCTAAGAATAGGATATTAATTTTTGTGGTTATATTAATAATTTACTTTTACTTTATGAGAATGATTTATAATTTGTTAGCTCGTAAATGTTTATGCGCAGGTGAATACTCGACGTGTAAATGAGATCAGACGTTTCTGTACAAGGAGACAGGTAAGAACGGTTAATTGAGACTGTTCATTCATTGTATGGCAAAGTCATGACAGTCAATACTATGGAGAAGCTGCAGGAGCAGGGCTGGTGAGCATATTCATAAATTTATTATGAAATGTAGAGCTATTAAAGTTTTTGAACATTGTTTTTATTATAACCTCAGGTACCTCACTGAACATGGATATAATGTTATCAGCGATTCTGGAAGTATCCTTGACGTACAAAGAATTATAAAACGCGCAATTGATGTTAGTATTTAGTTTTTTAACTGTATTTTCATGTCCCTGCATGATGCTTGGTACAATGTTTGCTTGTAGTTTGATTTGAGGGAAATTGGGAGTGGACAGGGAGACCTCAATCAGGGTAATCTAGTGTTGCAAATACAGAAGCTGCGTAATGTGGCAGCTCCAAAATGTAATGAAGAATCTCGTGCTGCACCACGTATGCTAAGGCTCTCACTAACGGATGGGAAAAATAATATTCAAGCTGTCGAAGTTGAACATATTTCATCTGTTAGGTATGCAGTATCTGTCTGAATGTAATCTTGTTATTTGACATGTTATTCCTTTTAGCTTAAACACCCCACCTGGTACAAAGTTATTAATAAGAGGTGGGAATTTATTACTGTCGCATGGAATTATTCTATTGAAGTCCTTTAATATAGCAACTATACTTGGAGGAAAGGTACCTAATTTGTTAGAGAAATGGGAGTTGAACAAGGTATGTATAATATAGCAAATAACAAATTCAAAATTTGTATTAATAATAAAGAATTGTTTGACATGACATTCCTTCTACATAACATTTGTCTAATGATTACAGAAATTGGCATTACACACAAGGGTAAGATCAATGGATGAGGGTGGTCCACCTTCATGGATACCATTTGGCAAAAAAATCATAAAGCTCTCAGAGCAAGATAAAAATTTCAAAGCTCTTGCTGATAAAGAAAAAGCAACTAAAGAGGATGAATTTGAGGCACAGCGAAAGGATGCAATTGCAGAAGCTGCTAAACAGGGTAGTAAAAAAGTTTTTGGTGGTGGAAACAAACAGGTACCTAGTACAAAGTACAAAGTAAAATTTATATTTATTTGGAACTGATTAACTAGTTAACTAATCTAAAGAATAAATATTATGTTATCTCAGCTATTGGATCATACTGTACAGAGGATAGTTGATCAAGGTTTCTCAATAGAACAAGCAGAATATGCTTTAAGGATAAACCGTAATAATGTGGACAGAGCATTGAAGACTTTACAGCGAAATGACAACAAGCATGGAAAGTAAGATTTTTATATAATGAATATTTATGTTAAGTACACATTAAGTTTTTTTTTTAAACAAACACCATAATTTAAAAGCAGTAACGCTCGAGAAACACGAGAACCTCGCGATTCTCGTGAACCACGTGAAACTCGTGGAAAGCGGTTTGAGAAGAAGGTTCAAGAAGATGGAAAACCAAGTAGTGGCAAGGTCTCTCTCTTCGATTTCTTAGAGGATAAACTTCCAACTCAAACGGATACAGTAGAAGAGACTAATTCACAGCAATTCAACAATATTCAAAACAAGGAGAGATCTGAAAATAATTTCGAACGATATGATATGAGAAGTATCGATCACTCTCAAGCAGGAAAAGGTGGAAGGTATATACTTTACTTTCACATTAGTTTAGAATACTATTGGAAACAATCGTCCACTTATTTATTTTTTATATCAGGGCCCAACGTGGTGGCCGTGGATATCAGCCGCCGCCAAGGTATAATGATGACAGTAAATCAGTGAAACGTACCAATAATAGTAGCTACGACACGTATCAATATTCATCACACAGTGGTGGCAATATGCAACAAAGCAAGCCACCGAGATTTCAAAGAAGTCAAGATAATCAAAATGTGTATCAGCCAGATGTTGGTGGTTATAAGGGATCCTACAACAAGAACGATCATAGAAACTCGTTCGCGCGTTCGCGTGCTGAAAATGCCGGTAATATTAGTGAAAGTGGAAGTGCAAGCGGATATAATAGACATCAACAAGATCACCATGAAGGCCAATTTGCCAACGGTAACAGGAACCATAGTCAAGTTGATGATACCAGGAATAGACACAGTTATGATGTATCTTATGGAAAGCAAAACCGAGCACAAGACGGAGTTCATAAATCGTTTCAACCAAATTCAATTGAGAAAAATTATAAGAGTCAGCTGAACAGGCATCAGCCACTTCCGGCATATGATAGTAATCATGGTGGAAGTCGAGGTACTGGTGGTTTTAATGAACAGAAGAAAGATCATACTTTCGGTAATTCACGTACCGCTAATAATACATCTGGTGGTACATGGTTTTGGCAAATTGGTGACAAGTGTATGGCTAAATACTGGGAAGATAATAGGGTACATAATGTCATACTGAATGCTGAATTATCGTTCATCATAATATTTTTGAGGTCAATGTTAAATAATGTTTTTATATTTTCAGTATTATAATGCGGAAGTGACTGCTGTCTCTGAGAGAACATGCGTTGTACAGTTCAAGGACTTTAATAACTACGAAGAAGTCCTCCAGGTGGATTGTATACCAATAACAGAAGACATCTGCCTGGTACGACTTAATTTACAATTTTAGTTAATAGATATGTATATTGAAATCATTAATTAATTAAAAAGTTAAATTCTAGGACGGTCAAGGAGGACGGGGATACAATCAAGATTCCAGACGCCAGGATCAACGTCCAGGAAATCGACAGCGCTATGATCAGAGTCACAATCATATAACTGGTAAATACTTTATTAAGACATCGACTATTGGCAGAGATGGGTCTTTGCGCTATGCCGATAGGCGAGCAAGAGCAATCGACGTTTTAAAAAAATATATGAAATTAAATTAAACTATTTAATTCCTATTATGTGCAACAGGTATGGAATTCCGAAGAGGTGGTGGCGGTGGCGCTGGAGGAGGTCCTGGTGCTAAAGGAGGTTTCAATAAACGTAGAGGTCCACAACGTAGTGCTCAACCAATTTATCAGCCACCAGCACAACGCGGTGGTGCATCATCATCAGGAGGAGGCCAACACAATAATCCTACACTTTAACACAATGACAATAGTCCTTTTAGCTAATAAAATTTCGATTTGGACGCGAACATTAACATAGTTGCTGATCAAAAGTACACAGAAGACTGACAGCCAACTCTAACACCTGTCAATTCTCATGCCATGGCTAGAAACTTTGTTTCTATTAAGTCATATCGGCCAGAATACTAATAATAAAATATACAAAAATAAAAACAGTGATGCGTCTCGTATGTAGTTATCCGCATAGTGAAATTATACGGATTCCGAATGAAATCTTCATTGTAAGATAACGACAGTTCTTTAAGCACTACAAAGCGTTTTTATTGTATGTAGGAAGAAGAGATAGCGTGCTGGCGTCGAAAGGTGCTCGACGTCGCGTCGTGCCTCTGTACCTTGTCTACCTTCATAGAATAGTAATAATGAACTTTGTAATATTTAAAATGAAGTGTTCTCATTAACGAAAGTTGAACGATACGCTTTACATTCGTAAATCTGCCATAGTAGCGTTATGCGGTGTCTCGATTCTAGATGCTACTTTAGTGCTAAAGTCGAGAAGGATGCATGTACGTAACAAAGTAACATCTTAATTACTTATTAGCCTTCTCATAATCTATTTTATCGGGTTATTCAAAGTCTCGAATTTTGAGAAGGCCACGGTTAGTTTGATTCCTTTTTCTGTATACGGCAGCAGTAGCATTGCGCAGAGTGCTCAAGGCGCTTGCCATAATCATTTCTGTTGTACTATATTGTATTTGACAAATCTTATTACATTGAATGGATGTCATGCAAATCGAATATTAAACGAAACTACTCGTTTATTAAATACTAATCAGAGTTGTGATGAATTTTTTGTTCCTAACTATTGCCTCATACTTATATTCCAAAAAATAATATTAGGAAAATTCTTACTGATTATAGAAAGTGCTATGGAATAATATGAGATACACCGTACTCCTACGTATATATGTATATTATAGTGATTGTCATCTCTTTTTAACTGCATTTACGAGTGGATACGCATTGGATGGAGCGTTGTGATTGGTTTATTTTTTCAAATTTCAAGCATTTCTGGCCCTCTGGTGTTGATGCACATGCATGCATGTTGTATTGACGTTTAGGCATGGCGGGATAGTCATGTCGTTTGCTTTTATGAATTTAATAATTCATTTTAGCCGCTTTATCGGTATTCAGATAAGTTTTATGTAAGGGGAATTGTACATTCCGTAGCCTCGGATTTTAATAGTGCTCTTTCGAAGCGCAAACGATTGTAATGCCGCCGCTCTCAGGAGGATTCGGTGAACAGATTGAGGTTACTATTTTAAATTTCAATGCGTGACTTCATCGTCGCTTCAAATTGTCTAGTTCACGATTGCACTTTTTCCCCTTTCAGGATTATGAAGTACTGAATTTACTTGGAAAGGGTGGATTTGCCAGTGTTTACAGAGCAAAATGTCTTCGAAGTGGAATAGAAGTGGCGATCAAAATGGTAAATTGATGCTTTTTATGGATGGAGCATGACCTACTTGTTGCTCCAAATGCATGTGCAGATATTAAGAATTTTTTTTATTTTAATAGATTATTATAATATATAAATGTTCCGTATCGCACGATTATTCCCCGGAATAATTGTATAATTTAACTTAAAATATTTAGATCGACAAGAAACTCATGAAAGCTGCTGGGATGGTGGGACGCGTTCATCAGGAAGTCGCTATTCATTCACGTTTGAAACATCCAGCTGTGTTAGAGTTATATACTTTCTTTGAAGATACTAATTATGTATACTTGGTATTAGAATTGTGCCACAATGGTGAGCTGCAGCGGTTTCTCAAAATGCAGAAATCCCGTACTCTATCTGAAGAGCATGGTGCGTTGACAATTAGATTTACTTTTTGATACCTTGTTCATTAACTACAGTTGCATTTCTAAAACAATTTCATCTTGTAATTACAGCTGGCCGTATCATTAGACAAGTTGTACAAGGCTTATTGTATTTACATTCGCATCAAATACTTCACAGGGATATGTCCCTTTCAAACTTATTATTAACTAGGGACATGCAGGTGGTAAGTATGACAACTTCTAGATAACAGAGTACAATAGTTGTACAAACTTTTATTCTTTTTAGAAAATAGCAGATTTTGGTTTAGCTACACAATTAACAAGACCCGATGAGAAACATTTGACTATGTGCGGCACACCAAATTATATTTCTCCTGAGGTATACCATAATATTTCCATAAAAGAAAAAAAAAACGTTTTCCAGAACCTTTGAATTTTCGTACTACACAGGTTGCAACAAGATCCTCTCACGGATTGGAGGCGGATGTGTGGAGTTTGGGATGCATGCTATACACTCTTCTAGTGGGCAAACCACCCTTCGACACAGATGCTGTTAAAAGCACATTGACACGAGTAGTCATGGCTGATTATATGATGCCATCACACTTATCCGAGAATGCAAAGGATCTTATTGATAGATTATTGAAAAAGAATCCACGTGATCGCATTCAATTGAGAGACATTTCAAAGCATCCATTCGTTGTAACACTGGAGAGATCACGATCAGTTAAGGTATGATTACAAACAATAACTTCTTCGTTCAACAAATAATAAAAGGATAAAGAAAAACATTCTCTTCCAGGGAAAATCTGGTATGGCCAGAGGATTGTCAAGTGTAGATGGTATGACGGATTCCGGAGTAGGGCGAACATTGTCGTCCTGTGGAAAGGGGCGAATTCGCTCACGTTCCGAGGAGAGAATGTCCACAGTTCATGTATTGACAAATGTTCTTGGTCCGACAGTCAGTGCCAGGAGTGATCCTTACTCTGAATCCGTAACAAGGTCGCAATCTTCCCATAGAGCAAAACCACCAGATTACTACCCTAATGAAAATTCTGTATTGGCTGGAATTCCTCAACCTTTACGAAGTAAAGTGTTCTCGCAGTGCGAGCAGCACAGCGGCTATGCTGTACATGAGGACGAGGATAAGCATAGAAGTCAACGACAACATCCACGAGAGCGCACTAATGATAACGGCATCGAATCCAGTGACACTGGAAACAAACTTTCGGTACCACCTTTGAATTCTGAAAGACTTCAGCCTACAAGACATCGTACTAAGAATGCAGTTCTTACTATACTGGATAACGGAGAAATCTGCATTGAATTTATTAAGAAGCGAAATGGAGGTGTATGTATTTGATTTTCATATCTAATATATTAGGCAATACTTTAATTGACTTTGAAATTTCAAATATAGGAGAGAGTGGGTGAAGTCTGTCGCATATCCGGTGATGGCTTGAGAATAATTCTTTATCGACCTGCAGACAGTACTGAAGTAGGTTCACAACCACTTCCACTTCCTTCGCGTGGTGCTGATAGCATTCACTCGTATGAGAGTCTTCCTCATCGTCATCATCGCAAATACTTGTATGCTGCACGGTTTGTTAAACTTGTCAGAGCCAAAACACCAAAACTTACTCTTTACACGGTACGCGCCAAATGTCTGTACATGGAAAACGGACCACAGCCTGATTGTGAAATGCACTTTTATGATGGAGTAAAGGTATCTAACAATATAGTTAATTGTTTAATTTTTATTTAAAAATTGAAAATGTGTATAAAATATGTATTATAGCTCGTCCGCGTAGATGGTGTTGTCAGGATAACGGAAAGGGACGGTGCACCAACATATGTAGAAGGTGAATTCCCATCCGATCTGGAGGAATATCATGAACATTATTCAGAGTGTTATCAACGGTGCTTGCTACTGGATTCCACGCTAACATCCCTGGGGGTGGCTACAGGATATTCTTGTTTTCCTGCGATAATCGGACGAAGACCTACCTCGGCTTTGAATGATACACCTACCATACAAGGGAAAGAAAACGTTTCTCGCGGTAATCCTAGTCCACCTGTAGTGAGTATCCTGGGTTTCTAGTACGAAGGAAATTATGTAAATTGTTATGGAATGGTATCATTATTATCTTTGTATTCTTTCAGATGCCTTCATTTGAAGCTACTTGCTCTGTTGTCTCCACAGTAGCGTCGCATTCCAGAAGATTAAATTCCGTTCGCATTTCTAACTGTAATACCAATAAAGTAACGGTTCCTGGGGTTGGAGTGGCTAGTCATCTTCCTTCTGGTGATGTTCGTGTCGATTACAAGGATGGCACAACACTCACGGTAAGTTACCTTATATAAATTTAGACGAATTGTTTGCATATGGTTTTGGAATACATTATTACAGATAAGCCCTCAGAGTTCGGGTGGTGGAATTATGTTTGAAAGCTCTAATGGTGTGACGAAGTATAATCAGAATTATCAACAAAATTCTGAAGTGCCATACATAGTGAGAGAGAAGCTACGACATCTACCGACTGTTATTAAGTATCTCGTACAACCTAAAACTAAGAATATACGATAGTCTCTTAAAACTGGCACTGTCACAGCCGAATATTCCTGTACAGTAATTTTAATCTGCCCCAATGATGCTAATGACAAGAACAGAAAGCATTTATAGGTATACATTTATTAGATTTATAACGGTATGTGGAATTATAGAGTAGATTATTTTCTATAAGTACAATAAAGGGATACCTATGATACTTGTTGTTCACTGAACTTTTATCTATGACAAGTTGTACTATTAAATCGTTTTTATAATCATGAAATCGACTCAATAAAGTGATCATTTTTAAATGATGTTTTACCTTATTGAAGCTTCGCTAAAGTGCTGTCGTCTCACATGTGACATTCGTAAAAATTAATCAAATTGCGAAACAGCGGGAATGATATGAGCCCTTCTGTTAAGCCCTAAGAATGTTACCGTCTGATTAAATGTCGTTAAGGAAATGACGTCAAAAGTTCATGGTGCGTGGCAAATAATCAGTGCATTAATAGTCCTATGATTCTCTGTAGGGAGCGGTTCAAGCTCTTTCACTCAACTGAAAAGGCCAATGACGCCGCCATATTGTTATGAGAGTAAATCTCAAGAGCGGAGCATCCGTTGTTGACATTTGTAATTCGGGTCATTTCGATAACATATTTTTTGTAAGTGCTCACATTACATCATTCTCACATTTGTTCGTATGAAGTAATTAAAGAGGATACAAATTTTTCTCCTTAAATGGATGAGTTTAAAATTCTGTAAAACAATCTGGCATGTTAGGGCGTAGTATTCAGGAAAGTGAGCAAGTAAACAACGAGCACAGTGACGTGTCAGTGATTAAACTGTAAAGACGTGTGGGATGTCACTTGACAATCGACTATCTTATGCTCAATTAGTTCATAATTAAAGGATTCCGGTCGAGAGTTCTCGGACAACGGACTAGGAACTAAGACTGACGCTCTAACCTCATACAATGGGTAAGTCACTATCTAATCAAGTTTAGTTTATCAATAGATAAGACCTTATATTTGGGTGGGAGATGTCCGATACATAATTATGAAAATTATTTTATGTCATCTGTGCACTGATTTCGACATCCTCCGTTTCAATCGTGATAAAAATCATTTGAAACTCCGTCGATATTCTTCCCTCTGCTAATCTTATCTTAACGTGTGGAAATGAATTAGTCACCCATAACTCATCAGTCCTATTAGTACAGTGCTTCCTGTTCATCTTGCATATTTGTCATATCTGTCATGGCCAGGCATGGTCGGTTTGGGCGCCCATCCGATGAAGTTACCACAGTAGTTCCTTTGCGAAGGAAGTTTAAAAGTAATATTAGTATTGATAGATTTTCTCAGATCAATGTTCATGATGATTACATAGAAGATAATTCATACAGTAAGTCTCTGGGAGATCATGTAAACATCTTCCTTGCATTGACTTTTAATGTTGAGAGGCACCTCTTTAGAACCTGAACCGTTTTCTTAATATTTTGTATTTTTTTGATACTTGAGGATTAATTGATTGTTTATTCATTTTTTACAGGGAATGTGTGCAATGATTGTATGGCCAGAGTGCCATATGCAACTCTCATAGCTACTATAATGTGTTGTCTAGGAGTGGGAATATTTTGTGGCACCATGTACAGAGGTGCTACTCTCTCTGCTTTAATGATGGATCAGGTATGATGAATATTTTATTTTTTCATATCCAGTATAGAATAAACTGTAATATTATCATTTATTGTCCATCTACTAAGGTCTTTCATTTACGTCTGGGATGGCTGGAAGCAGTACAACTTGTTTTTGCTACTGTAGGAGCAAGTATGGCTGCTCTCGGTTTTATGATTCTATGTGTTGGATGTCTAGCCACAGGAGCCACAAGACACAAAGTCTACCGGGCTTGGAGATCACGTGTTGGTGGTCGCATTTCTTGTGCTGTTGTAAGTTCTCTATTACTTTCCATATTGAAAACTATAAGGGCATAGAAATCCCAATATGCATATTCTTTTAGTTTATGACGATAACTTATGTACTCCAACTTGGCTGGCTTCTAATATTTGCTTTCCTGGTAATTACAACACTGATATTCACTGTCTTCTGGGGATTGTGCAGTAATCCACGAGTGCAATCTCTTGACCAGTGTATTGACTTTACTCAATTTGGTATGTTTTCAATTGCTATATCTATAACCGCATAACTCAAGTTGCAATTTCCAATAATGTACATTTTGGTAATTTTCTTTTTCAAAAGATTTCATGTTCCCTAACAACACTAGAGTTGAGGACATGAAAGTCTGCGGGTCACAGGAGGTAAAATTATTCTGCAAGGATTATGTAGAGAAAGCTGAGGTGATGTTCATCCTGGCAACAGTGGCTGCCATGCTGGTCGTTCTCAGTCTAGTGCACTATTTGATGTGCCTTTCAGCTAATTACGCGCATATCCGTGACCACGAAAAATTCCAAGAGTTACAAGAACTTCAGTATCTTCAAGATCCGGGCGAACCTGATACCCCTCATTCGGGAATGGGTTCCTTGGGATCGCATCATCGTGCCAAGGATAGATTTTAGGACACAGCCCGTGAGATCTTCTCTATGAATCCACTGTGAGCCTTTCACGACAATGAAATTGCTCCTTCCTTCATTGATCATTTCTTCACTTACTCATATCGTTAAATGTTATACAGAATGTATCCCGTTATCCGGATATTCTTCAGAGCATAAAACCCTGCTCAGGTATTGATTAAAAAAAGTATTCACTAAAAATTCTTCAGGATGAAACATTTCTTGAGTTTTCCTGGTTAACTTTTTTTGTATTCAGCTACTCACTAAGGAGAATCGACACTCTGAAGTATAATCGGTGTTCAGGTACACCTGGTATATTCACTGTTCACTAACAATCGCAGTGATTCATTGAAGAGGATCTTGCGGGAACATTATTAATGCCGTCCAATTATTCACGAGTATCTTATGTGTTTACTGTATCATCAAATATATAAGTGACCGAAAGTTGATAAGCACAATCAACTCTATTAGCGCGTAAGTTTAATTTTTCGTTAGGATTTATATAATCGGATATCAATCCACGGGGCAATTTTATCTAGAAATAAGAATATTCAATGCACTGCCTTCACCAGGGGGCGGCCTTGTTCAAACGCAACCCTATTTAATTATCTTGATGTTATAAACGTGTACGCGCACAGAAATTGGTGGGCACTGCGTGAGACATTGCAAATTTACTGGGGTTTTATGTACAAAACATATGTGCTGTGTTGTTGTCTGATGGTTATCATCGGAAGTATCTCGCCGTTTCACAGCAACAATGAGGATTCCTTTTTAAAGGATGAGAATATAATAAGAAATCTTTATTTTTAATACGCACTCGATTTTTAGCTGAAAGTATCTTTCGTTGTTGCGTGAGTTTTCGTCCGTGTTCCTCTATTGTTCAGTGAAGGATGGAATCATCTTTTACTTTATTTTATCCGTACCTTTGAAAGTGTAACTCATACATACATATCACGTAGTAGCATTTTATGAATATTAAATTTAAGTTTAAGAATTTTTAAAAGCTGCATGACCGTGTGGGTTATTAGGAATAAGGAAAAGTATAGTGTTTTTGTAAACATATCATCGAATTTAAGATGATTAGGTATAGCAATAAATTTAAGCACAATGCAGATTAAACAAAATTTTTACCAGTGACGCGCAAATTTTTAAAATGTGCCAAACCACACTAACTGTTGAAATTAGTTCGTTAGCATTTCTTTTTTTACAATATTAATTTTATTCTCATCATTTTTATCCTACTAACAAAAGCATCTGTAATCAGCAATTATACGTTTACAATAAAATAATACGTCTTTTATTATAAATTCGATTTCATTCATTCGCTGAGAAGTCATAAGCATTCGTTTTTATAATATATACAGATTAATAGATATATAGACAGTTATTAGCAATTTGTACAAGGTTCGACAATGAAGACGCAGAGATGCATGAAGATAAATTGTTAAAACAACGTAACGACTGATACTGTTTCGCAAGCGTGTAAGTTCCGTCGTTAATCGCAAGAGTACACAAACTTTTATCGCGCTATGTACAGTGATCGATATTTTTCAAAATATGCCTGACCAATGAGATCTTTAGTCCTCATCCAATTGAAAATCTAAATCAAAGTCCAATTCAACAACTTCTTGTATCGTGTTGATGAACGTGTACCGCGAAAAAATCATATATAATTTTCTGAACCAAACATATTGTGACTTGTGTGCTGCCATTGCTTCCTAAAACAATAGTATTCGAAATTTTTCATTGTCTATTAATTTTACATTCAGTGACACTTACTTTTATTATTCGCCTTTGGTTATAATCGACGAAATACCAATACGAGCCAGACAACAAACTGATTGGTAAATCCAATAGCTGAACATACTTTCTAACAATGTTTACAGACTCCAATATATACAGCTTGCAATCTAAAAGCCATAAACAATTATTTAAATAATTCGTAGATAAAATGACTATTAACAAAAAATACTAACATGATGGCACCCTCTTCTCCATATACATGGAAGCAAATGCGTAAAAGAGCGAAATATGATTCTTATGCCCGCTTACGCCAAATTTATCAAAAGTTAACACTGCATTTATTTTATAAGTTTCTATAAAATTTAACATTATTTTCGAAACTTCTGTTTCTGGCCAAATCAGTGTAGGGTCATCAGGTAATTCTGGATTCCTGTAAAATGAAAAAAGAGTGAACAAAAGTTGAAATCAAAAAGTAATCCTGCGCGTATTAATTTGCGCCATTTTATAGATATAAGATGAGTTTACTCTTACATTATAATGGTGACATTGCCCTCAGGTATGCCAAGAATTTTTGCACAGTCCCATAGCTCCTCCTTCCTTTGTTTGTTACCACCTGTTAATAAAAAAATCGTTAATCTTTATTAATGAATCTTACACGTGGTAATAAATAATAGAAATGTCAATGTAATTCATAGATCGTGCTTACCCGTAGTCAAGCAGAGAATATAAATCTGGCTGATATTATCTCTGACGATGTTGTATATCGTAGGGCCAAAGAACATAACTTCGTCGTCTGGATGTGCCGTCACCAATAATATTCTGGATGGTGGACCAGGTATTTGCCATGGTCTGTGATTCGTGTTTTTTAATAAAAAGTACAGAAAAACGCAAACACATAAATACGCGCTCACAGCTATCACGATCTGCCATGAAATTTCCTTAGCGTACCAGCACCACCACCATACAATTTCATTGACATACGTATTTAGATCCAGCATTTTTACAGAAGAAATAGCGTTATTTTAATCGCACATTCTTGGATACTTTTACTACGATTTCTGTACTGTTACTCAGAATTAGACCTTGATTAAAGCATAAGGTTATGTTATGTCTTGATAAGGAAAGTATGGCGCCATTGCTCGAACAATCTGGGCCCTTTACGTCCGTAATCCTTTTCCACAGAATTTATTCTCTTTAATATCTTATTTGAAAAGCATCGTTATAACTTGAATTTTGGTTTAAATCACATTTAAGAAATTCCCGTAAAAACGGCATGGATTAGTGAATTTCCAGATAGCATAGTTGGATATCTTGGCAGAGATGAGTAGGGAGATGCACAACGCTACGGTTTTAGGCGATACCAAAAACATGGTGCTAAATCGTAGCGGCGAGTCCGGGAGTAGGATTTTGTGATCATCGCCTCCGTCGATAATGCATGTCCCGTCGTAGCCGAGTTGAACGTGATCACGAACGTATAGCTTGGCGGGCAGAGATTCACCGCAACTTACCGCTGATTCCCAGAGCAGACCTTAGAACGCTGCCGCCCATCAGATATTGCCAAAATGATTTTTTTTTTGTAATCTTAAATTCGAGTGCACAGTGTAAGCTAGATAAGATTTACTAAGACAAAAGCCAGCACCTGATGCCTGCTTGCGTTAAGGAGTGCAGCGATGCCGTGATAGATTCCAGCATTATTTAACAATAGTTCCAGGCGGAACTATGGTCCCAACATTGAGTACTAGAGAGAACTATTCCGGAACTGTTTGAAACACGACCTGAAAACAACACTGAAAGCCAGCTCCTTATGCATACCTGCACTGAAGCATATGGTGCGACTAGTATCCTTAATAGGTATTTTAACGATGTTACGTAGCAGAACTATTGTTAAAACCTATCAGGAACTATAGAACTCTTCGAGAACTATTGAAAAAGCCTATTGTTGAATCATTTTCAAGAGATTTTAAAAAAGTGCGGTGCTGGAGCTGACACCCGTGTACCACCTCAATTTTTGTAATGTTACGTAGCAGAACTATTGTTAAAACCTTTCAGGAACTGTAAAATTCCTCGAGAACTATTGAAAAAGCCTATTGTTAAATAATTTTTAAAAGATTTTTAAAAAATTGGGTGCTGGAGCAATACACCCGTGTACCACCTCAATTTTTGGAAAATTCGTATTTTAACAAATTTAGCGTTCCCTTCCTTCCCTTGTAGCGTCAAATATTGTTCCTCGAGATGTCCTTACGGTGATCGCAAGGGCGCCGTTGGGTGCTATGCCCGATATACTCGAGCAATCAGAAACGTGGGTATGGTTTGATGGTTGTCGACATGCAAATAAAATTGGTTTCAAGAAAATCGGCCCACTGGCAATTTCCCATCTCACCTCTGTACGAAATACATTCGTTCATTCTATGGGATACAAGAGTATATCTTATTTTGCTCAGTGTATAAATCTGTTTTATCAGCGGAGTATTATTGACTTATTTAAATATATACAGAAACACTTTATTCTTCATTGTACGATGTTAACGAGATTAATACAGACTTATTTTGGCAGTATAATAAATCATTTTGGTAAGTATTTCGTATATTTAACAGTGCTCAATTTCGTGGGTTTTTTACGGATTTCTTGCAATGATTCACAATATGTGTAGGTGGAGTTTGATTTTGGATTTTCTTCAGGCGTGCACATGGCTCTTGACCAAATTATTGAAGCTACTGCTCCCAAGGCTCTTGACATGCACAAGAAAACTTGATTAAATTCCATGTCTCTTAATCCATAAGCCTTGAGGGACCAAAGGAACATATCAGAATAATAAACAGACATATATATATGTGCGTAATAAATAGAATTAAATATATACTCTAAATGCAGGTGCAGCGATTGCATTTTGTTTTGGCCAGATACTCTTTCCTTTAGTCTTCCTTAACATTATACTCAGAACTTTAGATATTTCTTGGGACAGCTGCAAACATAGTAATTACCAATTTGAACCTTTCCCGTGTCCAATAAGAAAGCGTCGCGCGTAATTGGCGCCATGAAGTTTCCATATAAATTTGAAATTCTAGAAGAGTACAGCGTCGCCTGAAAGAGCCTTGAGGCGGAGG